GTTACGTGACTCTTATGTAACTCAAATTATGAATGAGTAAATGAATATGGCATAAGTTTGAGAAGGGAAAACTGACTAAGCCTGTCCAGACGGCCGAGTTTGCACTTCCGTTTTTTGCCATTAGAACCCACTTTTTCCAAGTTCATGCAGGATTTTCCATCACTGTAAAACAGCTAATTTAGGGAGCGTTGTCTGGGTTATAGCATTACCCCATTTTAGTTTTCCTAGTGCAACATGTGTGTTTCAGTTTTTAAACTAGTGGAGCAGTGGAACTTTGACATGGAAATGCATGGCACATTATAATCATGTCTCATGGAAAGCTTTCGAAGGAAATTCAGATGGCTAAAGGGATGTGTAGACATTTGGCTCCATTTTAGATTCTCCCTAAGAAATCCATAATTCAATTGTCTTATTAAAGGTAGACTCAGCAATATGACATCATCATCGACAAGACTTCTTGCTTACAGACATCAACAACAACAAAAATCCAATCTGCCAAGACTGCCAGCACCCTCTCCCCTCCAATATTGGCAGATTATAATTGTGTTATTGATTTCTGTAAGCAGGAAGTCGCCCCAAATATGATGATGGCAAATTGCTGAGTCTACCTTTAATGTGTTACTTATAGAATTAGGAATTAGTATACTAATAATTACTAGTAATTTAATAATATCTCTATGGTGGTACTGCTGTCTTGTCTTGAGCTTCATTATTTACATAGTTGTAGTGTGTAGCACATTACAATTTACACTATATAGATGTACTAACCAATAGAGAAGCCTCTTGTAAAAAATCCACATTCCTAATTCATTTAGATTTCTGTTTGGACTTCCTGCTCCCTGTTTCAGCCAGTGTTTAGAACTTAATTCCTAAAACATTCTAAAGTTCTATAAAACCATTCCAAGTTCTTAATGTTGCTGCTTTGACAGAACACTAGTTAACTTAATTAAAATGCTTGGATAGTAGAACCGGGCAGTATATTATGTCATGTGTAATAAGGAATCCTGTTTCTGTTCTGCCACAACTTGTCAGCTCTGGAAAACATTTCCTTATTTATTTTTCCAACTCAATGAAGTAATAAGTTCCGTATCAGTATGGAAACTACATGTCCACATCAGATGAAACAATCCACTTATGTAATAGGAGTTTGATCGATACTCTATGTTTGTATAACACATTTCTCTGCTTTAGTCCACTGGAAAATAAAGTTACATAGCTCATGGATTTTTCCCTCTTGAGCACAGGCAACGTTATGAAATCCCATGAAACAATATCCCCTCAGAAAACACTATTCAGTGTCGTAGTACCAAATTTCCGATCCTAACTCATACTGTAACTCCGACATCCTTCGATCACCCATTCGTTAGAAATGCAGAGGGATGACATGTTTCTCTGTTTGTTTCCACGGTAGCCCAGAGGTGTGGAGTTCTTTGGATCAATGGTAAAACTTCTTTATTCAGTGATACATGATAGAGAATAAGCAGCCAGAAACCAAACGTTCAGTCACCTCTGTGCTGTGCCCTGTGCCACTCCTCCACTCAGGCTAACACCCATGGTAGACACCTGGGACCTTGAACTGTCTATCCACCCAGCACCTCAATAACAATAACAACAATGACTACAATAACCTCTGACTCCTATAGGAAGAGCTGCATCTTCTACTTGTAGTACAGTACTACTTCTACCAAAGATGGTGGATAAATGAAGATAGTTCCCTCAGGCTGTTTACCATTGTTTGTCTAAGTGGGTGGCTCTCCCATAGACACCAATGTGATAGCAGTCTGCTTAGTTCATTGACTTCCATTGAAACAGGTGTTATAGAAGATTACAATAGGAGGGAATATACAGCAGCTCATCCTTTGCAGTAGTAGTAGGTGCTTAGACCAATCAAAGCATTCCAGTCCTGCCAGGCTATAAATAGCTGTTGAAAAGGGTGTGTGCATGCTCAGCACACTTTCCTATGGTGTGTCATCACCAAAATCCGTTGTTTACACTGGGCCAAATAGAATGTGTAGTTGATTAAAGTGCATTGACTGGTTTGTTATGATCTGTCACTTTTGATTTATCCCCACAGTACAGCGAATAGGGGTTTTACATATTTTAAATGAGCTAGGTCGTCCTGCTAATAAACATTTTTTATTTATTAAAATGCTTATTATGCAACTAGCTTCACATCATTGTTTACATGTATTGACTCAAGCCAAAGTAGTTCCTTGGCTTAATATAGTAATTAAAAAGACATTGAAATACAACTGACCTTAACAAACTGCTCCAACAAGGGGCTCTGTTGAACGCTTGAAGCTCAGATGAAAGAGTTCTAGGGGGCATTGCTGTTGATTCTGGGGTGGAATTTCAGTTTTCATGTGGCTGATTAACTTAAATGGTTTATTTTAATTGTATAACCTACGCATTTAGGCCATGGAACAAGAAAAAGTTGGACAGAGAAGCAGGATTTTATTATCCATGTTTTACAGGTTGGACTGAGGCTTGGTTCCAACTAAAACCATTTCTTGAAATCTTGGGAGATTCAATACATTTTAGCTTGTGCATGTTCTAATTTGGTGTGAGGTTTTTCATAAAAAGAAACTGTATTTTATACTAACTGTATTTTATCAGATTAAATCAATCCCATATAACTCCCTATTATGATAAAATCCCTATCTGACATTACATGGTCAAAGAGACAGGCCATAGACTCACCCTTCCACACTGATTGCTACAGGATCTGATTGTCAGAAAGTGTGGCTGACTGTATGAGGGCAGCAGCTTTTATTGAGTGTCAGGGACTCCCTCCTCTGGTGAAAATGAGACACACACTGATTTACATAAGGAAGATTTCCTCAGCAGTACAGCCCCAGTCCAGTCTGAGTATACTATAGGCCTAGTTTTACTGCTGTACCAAAACCAAGTACTTCAACTAACTCACACAAAGCTAAACATATCAGAAAAAAATTACTACAAAAAAGGATTTCAGAGAAATGACAAGTGGTTTGGTAACTAGAAAGGAAAACAACATGAGATTTATTTTATCACCACCAATATTCACAATTCAACACGATCCTCCCTTTTTGTTCTGCAATTATACCAACACAAAATGATCAAGGTTAATAAATAAAAACGGATTATTTACAATTATGCAAGGCAAAATACTTTAAAAAACAAAACTTTAGAAAGTCAAATAATGTAGTGTCATTCTATCACAATTGAAGGTTTGAAACCTCCAAAGTCCACACTCGAAGAAAAAAAGCATTTCAAATTCAAAGGGTTTGAATAATGTTTGAAATGTCAACTAAAATAAGGAAAGATGAACAGTAGGTCACACACTACAAAATGACTGTAATTCCAACTGAACAAGAAAAGCAGTGAATTGGTAGTTATGACACACTGTATGTAGTCCGACACAAATTATTCACTAATCCTAACAGTAACCCCGTCATGGTATTAGGCTACATCTTTATAATACGCCACATTAGCGAACATAATAGAAATGGGGACATTAGCCTACAACACAATTATTTACACTTTTACACTTTTTGTACCAGTCGTCTCTGAATGTACTGTATGGTAGGAATTGTGAGGAATAGTATGTGAGGAATTCATTACATATTTTTCTTTAAAATGTGCACTAATACGTATTGAAAATCAACACATTCTACTGGGCCATTCACTCTGAGCAGGTGAAAATTGTTCTCTTCTATTCCAGACATGTCTGTGAGAAGAGAAGCACAGGGAATTGTGGGGGCTCAGCTCTAGGTGAGGGGAGAAGGCAGCCGGACAGTGGTCAGAGTATTTTCAGCTATGGCTTGAATTGGCTTCATATCACAACTAAAGTGAATCATGCAATGATACAGTGTGGCCAGAACTGGCGTCAGGAGTGGGCAGTGACCACATGACAGCGTAGCCTACAGACTCCCTGACCTAGTGGACATACAGCTAGTCCGGGGGCCAAAGTGGAACATACGGCTTGGCTACAAAAAGCATCCTGTTAGTGGCTGAATATTGACCATGCTCTTCAGTTTAGACACAATCTATTTTACCATTCACCGTCCCAACGTACGAAATGACAAAGACACACCCTTTGACATCTGAGACAGTGGGTCATCATGCTATAATAAAGAACCAAGCCACCTCCACTTGGCTGGGTTATAGTCGTTGAGTGACGCACAAACAAATACACAAACAGAACCTGATCAGTGCACTGGTTCACTTTGAACCACAGAACTGTTAACATAAAATTGCATCAAGTCCTTGAGAAACGCTACTTCAATGCCAGTGTTAAACATTAACATAATGTGCATAAAAAACCTTTGAATCTGTAATGCAACTATTATGTTGTTGTAAAAAAAAAAAAATGTATTTCACACTATTTTCCAATGTAACTATAACGATTACTGTTATAAATGTACAATTAAAACATAATTACCAATTCAATGCATTTCAGACTGACAAGCTTTTTTATGCAAGTACTGTATGTTAGTCAAATCCAATCAAGCGTTCCTTGTTAGTTCTCTAGGCCTGATGTTTAGATATCAAACATGATTTATATTGTTAATGAGTCCCTGATTAAGAAGTACACAACCCTCTGTTAGATCATTTTGGCACATATTTCCTAATGGTATTCACACATTTTAGACCTGCGACCATGATAAAACACAGAATTCCGGTTACGGTAACCACCAATCCAATCAGTCTGTAAACATACTCAGTCATACTTGTCAGTCTTTACATCTAAACAAGGAAAATAATGTAGACTTACACAACAACTTTCTCTCTTCTCAAATCAAACATTTTTTCTTCCCACACCATCTCTTCCAATTGCACATTAACCTTTAAGAATAAATTAAAGGGGAAGGGAACCCTTTAGGTTCTTATAAAGCGCAGGCTCTGTTAGATGAGAGAAGTACGGAGGAGTTCGAGCAGAGACCTCTCTCCCCATGCACAGAAGCAGGGCTGGGGTTACTGTATGATGGTGGTGGGGACCGTTGCCTCCTCGTCCCTCTCTAGGAGGTGAGCTTGGAGTAGTTGGGCGGTGAGAAGCGTCTGCGCAGGTACTTGAGGATGTAGAGGGGTAGACAGCTCACCAGGGTGATGACCGTCACCTTCCACAGGAACGACAGCGTGGCGATGAAATATACATCTAGAAACAGCCAAGGAAAGAGAGGGCAGGATGGTGGGTCATTTAAGCAAAGATGTTTTATATATGAGGAATTGAGTATGTATGACTTAATGTAATCAGGTTAGTATGACTACTGTTTGTATTTCAGTTGCCACTACTCAGTTCATTTAGTGACTAGGGGGGAGACCTAGCATCTAAATATATATGGCAGATGAGGGAAATGGCTTGCCATGTAACTGACTTGCATTCAAGCTGTTCCATTCAAGGACATAATGTACCTTTGGTGTCACTTGTGACGTTAAAAGTTAAAATGGCCTCTCTTTTACGATAGAGAAGGATGAGAAGGGCACTTTTGACCACGTTCAAGTCATAATGCTCAGTGGTCTGAAATTGACCTTCACACCCCACAAAAAGGTCTAAAATAGCATTTGGAAAAAGCAAATAGAGACTGTGGAGTAAATTATTGGAATCTATGCAACTACTGCATTTGTACACAGCCAGCCTAAGAACCCAAATCTGATTTTCTTTCTATATCAAAATATTTTTTTCTGACTGTCCACACTCAGTTTTACATGTGACCCATATCAGATTTGCGCATTCACACAGATGTAGCCTCTGAAGTAGCACACAAATGCAATGCTCATTTCATGTCACTGTTCCTTTACATTTGGGGTGGTTGTCATGGTAACAACAGCTCATGTCCAAAAAAACAACAACACTTGAGCAAAAAAATCTTATCCGAGTGCCAGACAGAGGATCGGGTTTGTATCAGGATTCAGATCCACATATGGAGGTGGTGTAAATCGGAAGTCAAAAGATCAGATTCCATGTGGTTTTTCACTATTTACACATTAGGGAAAATATCAGAAAGGTATCAGATATGCAAATAATTGGCAAAATATCTGAATTAAGCTGCCTGTGTAAACAAAACCTTAGGCTTTTTAAGTGACAAACCACGGTTTGCATAAATAAAACACTCAATTATAGCTTTATAAAATTATATAGAAAGCAGAGTGTGATGTTCGACATGTGGTACAGTAGTTTCTGAGCTACAGCCTCTGTTTGGTCATAAACACAAAGACCTTGGCCAGTGTGTGTGTGGTAGCTGAAGCAGGAAACTAACATGAGACTTTGGCATTTCCACTTCAACACTCTAGCATGCCGGTGGCTGGCTGCGCTCCTCTGGTACTATTTGTTACTTTATTCACCTTTAGCAGGACTTCCTACTGGCAGTACATTCCAGGTCCCAGCCAGCCCAGGGCTAACTGGACACCAGAGGCACTGTATACATGGAGAAGACCCTGTCATCACTGAATGCTGACGTAAGAATCCAAGGGCAGGGACTCTGGGAAAGCCCATTACAATCAATCTATCACTGAGTACAGGTAAATACAATTGTGGCTGCATTATTTTGCTTCATCAGTATCAAAATTCCAGACATAGGAATTCTTTGGCCATTAAAAGTGTGGGGGTGTACGCATGAGCGTTTACCCACCTATGAACTTGTGCAGGAAGACGAGCAAGGCAACGTAACAGGCTACGCTGAAGAGTCTGTGTGTGTGTGTGTGTGCATGTTTGAGCACAGTATGCATGTTTACGCACCTATGAATTCGTGCAGGAAGACGAGCGAAGCGATGTAGCAGGCCAGACTGAGGAGCTCGGCTACGATCATGAGCCAGTGCCATGTCTGGATGGTGAGCGCCACCATCAGCAGCTCAGTGAGGATCAGTGAGGTGAAGGAGATGGCCACGATGTGGACAAACTCTGACTCAAACAGCAGCAATGCCCCATACATGATGATACTGCCTAAGGAGCACAGAGAACAGGCAGCACAATGTCAAGAGCACTGCCATTGCATTGGTGTGTAGCTGTATATATGTTTGTTAATTGTCGAATAAATGAAATCAATCAATCAATAAATCAAACAACCGGCAGACACTTTGGAGCCATTAAAAAGCTGATTGAGTGGCTAAATATGTTGGATCATAATTTGACCAGTTTCTCACAGGAGTAAAATGACTCCTGCAGCAGGAGGATTTGATTATAAAAAATAAAAATAAAGTGATAACTACCGGGAAATTCGGTTTGATAGGCTACAGTAGGATATAGTTTAGGTGTTAGATCTAGTGAGAGAAATGATAACTACGGGTTTTCAGTAAATGTATGTAAATCACAAGGCTCATTTGAATTCATGCGGCACAAGAAAATTCTCTGCGACAGAGTGACAAAATTAGATACAACACCTGTAACTGTAATGTTCAACATGAACCTTGGCTCTGCTTATTCTGTTATCTTATCAAGAGCAATGGACAATTGAAATACAACTAAGAAAGTTTTCAACACAGTACAACCAGATGTATATATTTTGCATTAAAAAAATAAGGGAATCGATGTCAAGATTTCTCACAGTTTCCCATGTCAGGAAGAGGAAAAGGAAGTTTTTCACTTTTCCATCTTTTTTTAACACTTCCATAACCTCTCTGATTGTTAATGTGACCTTTAAAACGGGACGTAAAACCCCACTTCCTGCGATTGAAAATGTAATTAATACCAACAGACCTAACATGGGTTGTATCATAGTTATGAATTGAATACAGCAGCATTCTCATCACTGAGTAAAAATTGTGGAGGGGTCAGGACCAGACAGAAGTAATTTTTCTGTTAGACATTCGTATACATTTGACAATAAAATAATATTTTTCTCATTATTATTATTTTAAAAAAGCATACAAAACATTGCCTCCGTGGAAAACTGTAATGGAATAAATACCAAACAACCCACCAATGGCCTTAAACACAGAAACCAGGCCCACTCAATGGCAAATAAGAATCAAAAAGGATCATGGCTAAGGATCTTCCATCAACTGGAATATTCTGCCAAACAAACTATTTGGAAAGGGAAAGGTGGGAGGTAGGGATTGAGCACTGAGCGGTAGACAAAAGGTTTAGGGGTGTAGCTTTGGATGATTCTGGCAACGCCTTTGCAACACAAATGGCCTGTGTTGGAAAACAACCTTAGGTTATTTAACATTTACAACGCACAGACATAAATAAACTCTACTACTAGCAATTAAGAAGAAAATGTGTGGGCTGGTGGGGAGCATCATGGATCCTCCACCACAGGGCAGGGCCGTTTCTAAAGTAGTAACTGTGTGAGAGAGGCCTAAGGGATTAGTTGTTTTCCAACAACAAAACATAACAAAATCCCTATCTATAGGAATGCATATCAACAAATACTCAAGCTACCTAATGTATCATTATTTCCACAACCAACTTACCTTGATAAATACTTATTAGTACCCATATCAAAAACGTCTTAAAGGACAGAGGTCGACCCTGAAAGGAGGAATAATAGAACGATTTGAACAATTAATCCACACACAATAACTAGTAAAGATTTAATGAAAACTGAAATATGTGCAAATATGTGTTTGTAAAGTATTCTCGAGTGTGAAGAGAAGTTTATGCAGTATGTATTAAAACAATTTTTGCCTGCTATAACACAATGCAAATGATACAGCCAATAAAGACATGAATTACCTTTAGGAGATCCTTATATAACTCAGGATAGAGCATGGCTACTTCTGACTGCACATCTTTATCCAACACAAGGGAGAACACAGGGAACATGGTGTAGATGGTGGAGTAGCTAAAATAAAGAACATTCACAAAAAGTATTTGCAGATTGCAGACGATAGTAGAGAATTTGAAATGCTATTATTTATTTTTTTACAAAAAGAACATGAATTTTCTCAGGCACCTCATTACCAGACATTAACTGCCATAGAACATTAACTGTAGAATGTAAAATAGTTTACTTTAGGATTGAAGCTTCACGTATGGTTATGTGGCTACTAATATCAATCGTCACAGATTTCAGTACAGTTCTCTGACCTCCATTCTAAGGCTGGACAGAGAGGGTTTTGATGAGTCAGTAGGGTTCAAGTCATCTCATAGTAGTTTCATAGCAACACTACGTCAACACAATCTAAATATCAACAAAACATGGAGCTAACACATAGCTGAAATGCCATTGTGAAGATCAGCTCACCCAATAATGAGGAATCCTTGGTAGAGGGGTACAGAGGCAAAGTAGAAGACAGAGGAGAACACAGCCTGGGGGAGGAAGAAGAGATCATGAATGAGTAATCATTACTGTATGTAAAACTTGTGTGCTTAACTTTGTATTGAGAACTGTAATACACAACACCATTGACACAATTTGCCCAAACTATCTACACGTTACTTTAATCTAAAAATGAGTTAATTGATTGAAGTAATAGCCCTAAGAATAGGTTATAAAAGTGAAGTAGTAAACCTAGTATTATCACTCTGTCGAGGCACTACTTCTACTACGTAGTTTAGAACACTGACTAACACTGAATACTAGTATGATGCTACATGGTTGGAACAGCAGCCAGGCATAGAGCTGGGCCAGCTCATGCCCTATACCAAACAGTTAACAGCTGTGGTTGTGGGCAGCGTTAATCCGAGACACATGGGGGCCTCCCTAACTAGTGAGCCTATGGCCTGGTGACTCACATGGCTTTCCCTTTTTCCTTGGTCTGGCAGACTAGCAGGCTGAAGAGCTGGGGCTGGATGCTTGGGCTGTGGTACTCACAAGGGCTGAGGCTGGGGGTTGACACTGAAGGCTGGGGCCTCCCAGAAGAGCTCCTGGGGTCACCTACTCTGACTCACTCTCCACTCTGCTCCAACTCACTATGCCTGGCCCTAGGTACCCTCACTGCCCACTGGAACTGGGGCTCTGGGGCTGGTGCTGCAGGCTCACAAAGAAGCTTCTGGCACTCCGTATCCTGACTCACTCCACAACCGCTCCACCCTTTGGTACCCTGGTCCTGCCTACCTGCATGGTGCTGATGCACAGGCTCCGGTGGATGACAAACTGGGAGAGGCCGGCGGATCTCTTGTAGCTGTTTCGCCCGTGGACCATGAGGAGTCGGCCCAAGTGCTTGAACTGAGTCACAGAGAAGTCTGCAGCCAGAGATGCCTGCTTCCCTTCCTGTCAACGAACAACATGGTGGTGGAAAATAAGATACATTTTCAAAAGGTTAGCAAAGGTCTTCTTTAACCAGAATAACACTTTTTACGAGTGTATATAAAGAGTAGTTGGTCCAAAAGTTTAGAGGAAAAGTTTAAACTAAGTGATCAACTGAAAAGTGGAATGCCAAACTGCCACTTTGAGTAAATATAGTTCCCTATTTCTGCCAATAATTACCAACTATTGAGTTTATGTGGAGCTGTTGTCTGTATTTGCTGGAGCAATCTGTCAATGATGTAGGAACTCTGCATGGTTGACCTGTCAGCACTACAGTTCATGCAGTCCCAATCAGAACAGAAGACAATACCACTCTGTCACATTCATTTCCTCTACACCCATGACATGCTTTCACACAGTCAAAAAGGAATCATCTGTGCATGATATTACATAAACAAGTGACAAATGTATGTTAAAAGATGCTCTGGCCAGATGGAAGCCAACTCTCAGGAAACACACAACACATTCCGATGGCAGAGAGAGAGTGTGTGTGTGAGTGAAAGCAGAGCATCAAGGCGACAGGGACAGAGAGATTCTTACTTTGCCCTCCACTCCCACGCCACAGTCGGCTTCCTGGATCATGCTGACATCGTTTCCTCCGTCCCCTAAGAGAAAACAAACAGATATCAGTGGAGGTGTCAGGAGGAATACGTCTGTTAATGTGACTCACAAGAGAGAGGGCTCTGTGTGTGTGTGTGTGTGTGTGTGTGTGTGTGTGTGTGTGTGTGTGTGTGTGTGTGTGTGTGTGTGCGCGACTCCCTCGATCTGACGTCTGCAAACTGTTCATCAAGTTTATATCATGAAAACAATACCATTCAATATCTTTAACGTACAGATCAGTAACCCTGCAGTGAAATGTAATTGGAGAGTTTCAGTGAGCTGAATTGTTAACTCTGTAACTCTGTAATGTCCCAATAGAGAAAAGCTTGGGGCTGACACTGGGGAGACTCACCTACAGCACAGGTGAGTTTGCCTGTGCGCTCCTGCAGCAGCCGGACTATCTGGGCCTTTTGGGTCGGAGCGCAGCGACAACACACCACCGCAGGACACTGACACGCCAGCTCCATAAACTCATACTCATAGAACTTCAGACACACCTGCAGGAGAAGCAGAGTATGACAAAGGAGGTTTGAACAACAAGCCAGGGGCCAATGACCAACTGTAGCTTATGTCTGGATCTTTATCAATGATATAGGTTCCTTCCTCAACGTCTGCTACATTTATGTAGGAAGTTGTCAATTGAGACCCAAAACAATGCAGCAGTGTGATTGGATAAGACTCAAAACAAGTTGAGGTTTCTCAAGTGTTTCAAGTGAGACTTTTTCCCATGTTAGACTGACTCTTACCAATACCACAGCCACCACCAAAGGCCTCTTCAGTAACAGTGCTTTGGTTTGGTTTACACAGACAAGGTCAAATGTTCAGAGTGAGGACGGTGCTCAGCTTACCTCCAGTGAGTCCCCTGATATGACCAGAGCACAGTCGTGTTTCCTCCTGAAAGCGTTGAGCTCCAGATGGGCCTCTCCTCGCGTCGTCACCTAGGACCACAGACAGTACAGGGCTTACCATCACGGTCACAGACACACAGACATACAGATGGCTATCTAACCCACAGCAGTAGGAGTAGCTGCTCTCCTGACTGCAACTGTCATCCACACTCCAGATTAGCATCAGGGTGAACTGATCAACTGTCAACTGAGCATACAAACCATAGCCATAACTGTTGAACATGTGATTTGAAATGCCAAAGTAAGTTATAAAACCATAAGGAGAACCAGGACATGAACCAGCTCAACCATGGCTCATTTTGTGGGTTTCTATAGACTACTATTTATTATCAAATATGGAGGTTGATTGTGCTGACATTGCAATAGGGCACATTAACAAGAAAACATCCCATTGTTTCTGCAACTCTGTCAAACTTATATGTGGACTCAAAATACCAGAAATGTGGAACTGGAAATGACCACAAGACATCAATCTGTCAACCAATGTTCTGCACTGGTATGGCTATATTCCTCTCCTATTGCCTGTTCATACGGCAAGTCGTCAACCCAGGTGCCATTTGTGTCAAACCAGGAAGCCAATAGCAGATGCCCTGGCTATTGGACCACTCAACAGTCACAGCCCCTGCCCTGCTCCGCTGGGAGAAGCAAGGGGACTGTTTTCATGCTGTGCCAGCCATTGTTATCCTCTTCCAGTAACAACTGTTGTACACAACTCCTAACATTCCTATATCAGGCAAGCTCTCCTTTTCTGCAACTGGAGATCAGCCAAAAGGGAAGTCAAAGGACTATCAAAGCAATAGTGGAGTTTGAGAGCTAAGCCTGCAAAACAAATTAGGAAGTTAGGTTCTCTGTCTTTGTGTTCCCCCAGGGAGTGGTTCAGCTGGTTCTTACCGGCCTGTTTCCAGACCTGGGTTCAAATACTGTTTGAAATCGTTCAAATACGAGTGTTTGCTTTAGCCTGCCTGGAGCATCGGGTTGGCAGGGTTTGTACTTCTGGGACCTATCTATTGGTTATATTGCAACAGGGAAGATCATTCAACCAAAGCTAAAGTATATTAAATGATTTCAAATAGAATTTGAACCCAGATCTGGAGAGCTCAGGTCTGTTTTACACTGGCTTGGATTGGATGCTTATTCCTGTGTGAGGTATTTATTGTTGGGCCTGCCAGTTATCCAACGGATCTTGGCTGGGCTGGGGGACTACATTACCACCGCTCTGGGCATTCACAACACAGAGGATGGATGTCCCAATAAGGTCAGGGCAGACAGGAAACTGTGGATGGCCCTGTGAACTAGGAATTACTCTTTATGCTAAAGCTATTTATTCTAATCCACAATAAATATGATATTCAAATTACAGTTATTAAACAGAAAAATGCCCTCTACTGCTTCTCCACTCACCGATCTAAAGATGTGAATGTCCTGGTTGCGGGTCACCAGATGGGCGTTCTTAGCCGTGCACGTGGCTGTTTCCAGCTTGTCTCCAGTTAACATCCACACCTACACAGGTAATAAAGTTTTTAAATGACATTTCTGTGTGATTAACATGTTTTACTTTTATTATCCACATTCAAACAATGACACAACACATAACAACAGCTACAGAGGCCACAAAGCCCAGGGATAAATAAAGTGTATTGAAGTGAAGTGCTAAGTGTTGTTGCTATGCGTCAGTCTCCCCCTGCCCCGGTGACCCCTGCCCCCTGACCTTGATGCCTGCGTTGCGTAGGATCTCCAGGGTGGGCCGTACATCAGCCTGAAGCTGATCCTCTACCCCCGTCAGACATAGCAGCTCCATCTCCATCTCCAGGCTCTCGATCACTGTGGCAACCTTCAGAGACCGGTCGTGCACACTCAGCTTGGCCTGGATGTATCGGGCCTGTGGGTGAAGAAAGTAACAGGGGAGAAATATGGAGAAAAGATTTGGATTGGATGCCTAAAATATGTGAATATAGCATGTTGGAGTTTAACTAGATTGATTTATCAATTGTCAGACATACAAATTCATCAAATGTAACAAGTTCTGGGTGGTTAGAGGAATAACAACAACATCGATCAGCAAGTAAACGCCCAGCAGTCTCCAGCTCAGAAGGCAATTTTCAGAGTGAGATAAAGCAAAAACTATCTGAGTGACTCACTCAGGAACACAAACTCTGTGTGTGAGTCACTTAGATAGTGAGTCACCACCGCCCACCAGCCAGCTCACAAAATTATACACTCCCGCAATGGGGCTGGGGCTGCATGGGAAACACTGACTGCCCTGCTCGCCCTGAGAATGTGTGTGTGTGTGTGTGTGATCTGAGCACCAAACAACACACTGACATTTGAAGAACAATGGTGAAAGTATCTGTGGAAACTATTTTGTTTTTGTATTTGTTGTTGTTGGCAGGTACTAGGTTGATATTCAGGACATTTTTTTTATTTTACTTTTATTTAACTAGGCAAGTCAGTTAAGAACAAATTCTTATTTACAATGACGGCCTACACCGGCCAAACCCGGACGACGCTGGGCCAATTGTGCGCTGCCCTATGGGACTACCAATCACAGCCGGTTGTGATACAGCCTGGAATCGAACCAAGGGGTCTGTAGTGACGCCTCAAGCACTGAGATACAGTGCCTTAGACCGCTGCGCCACTCGGGAGTCCTAAGGAAGGACATGACAAAACCTGTACAGTGCGTGCTTTGTTGAGGAATATAAATGAATTAGTTATAAATTGAGTGTACAAAACATTAGTTACACCTTCATAATATTGAGTTGCACCCCCTTTTGCCCTCAGAACAGCCTGAATTCGTCGGGGCATGGACTCTACAAGGTGTTGAAAGCGTTCCACAGGGATGCTGGCCCATGTCGACTCCAATGCTTCCCACAGTTGTGTCAAGTCGGCTGGATGTCCTTTGGGTGGTGGACCATTCTTGATACACACGGGAAACTGTTGAGCGTGGAAAACCCAACAGCGTTGCAGTTCTTGACACACTCAAACCAGTGTGCCTGGCACCTACTACCATAACCCGTTCAAAGGCACTTACATATTTTGTCTTGCCCATTCACCCTATGACTGGCTGGCACACATACACAATCCATGTCTCAATTGAATCAAGGCTTAAAAATCCTTCTTTAACCTGTCTCCTCCCCTTCATCTATACTGATTGAAGTGGATTTAACAAGTGACATCAATAAGAGATCATAGCTTTCACCTGGATTCACCTGGTCAGTCTGTTTTGTACACTCAGTGTATATTATCATCCTACAAAAAATTATTTGACTGAAATCTCCTCGAGATTGTGAGGAGTGGTAACCAACACAATGATTAACTGGGGCACAACAACACAAGAAGAGAGAGTTGCATCAACTAGTAAAAGTTAACAATGAATGTTGTTATAACTGCTATAACACACCCGGTATCATCTTACATTCTCAGAAATCAAAATGAATTCCCCTTCTGTTTATGACCCTGTCATAATAAAACCAATACCATGTAGGAATTAACCTACTGAGTCCTTTTGACCTGCTATGTGGATGTGCATACAGAAGCCAACTTAAACCAAGATGGATACCCTGGGCTTCAGTCTCACTAATGAGTTTGCCAAATGGATATGAAACACTGAAATGTCAAGGTCGCTGACGGTGGGCTTGGTTACTCAGGACAGTCAATTCATTCTCCATCTAAACAACATCCTCCTTCTGTTGGCTTTGGTTATGGCACAGTCCCTACCATTAAGTCCCATACCCTATGGATCAACGTGATGACAGTTACATTTAAGCTCATTCAAAGACAGAGAGGGAATGCTACTAACCTCAAAGTCTTGGTACTGTTCCTCTGTTAGAGACTTCTTAGAAACAACCAGGACCCTCAGACCTTCCCTGGCCATATTTCCACACTGGAAGAAAGAGCAAAAGCATCACCAAAATATTAATATCAGAACAAAATGTTCAAAACATACACAACGTCTCTGAACCATCCCAATAAAAAGGGTAAATTGACAGCTACCGCTATAGATGACCGCAACACGATATATAAAAATCATGGTGGTCTTTTATTCAAACTAAAATGACTTGTTCTAGACTAGAGGAAGGAAAACATACCTCTTCTTCCAGCCAATCGTTATACTGGACGATGCCAGCCATCACCACATCTGCACCCTTCATGTAGAAGCTAATCTCTCCCGTAGACTCATCCTGTAAAACAGACCATTCACTGTCATTACCTTAATTCCATGCTTGACAAACAAAATAGAAGAAAAACATTCACATCAATCAATAAGGTGCACTCCGGGGTTTCCCCCTGACTCTCAGCACTTGTGTAGGGATGCACATAAAATATGAGTTTATTATTGTCGGTTGGTTGTTTAGAAAGGGAAACTTATTTTGGTGTTGATGATCACAAGGGGTCTCAGACGTGTTTGAAAATATTTTCTCGAGGAACCCAAGTTCAATCCCATGCTTCCTGAAGTAGAGTTATACCATGTCTATCCAAGCCAACAACAATAGTTAGTCATGCAGACAGCACAGAGACTTAGTCATAGGGTTCATAGCCGGGTAAAGTCTTTCTCAGATCAGTCTTCGTCTTGATGGATCACTGGATCAATGCCCAGGTTCAAAAGCCATAAAATGTATCTTTCAAAAGAGCAGTTGGCCCCAACCAGTTGGCCCCACTGGTTTCAGCTATAGAATCGATCTTTCAAAAGAGCAGTTACGTCCAAACACTAACAGTTGGCTGGCAATCAAGCAAAATACAAATCATCTTCCACAATACATTAGTTGACCTCAGGAATGCAAACACCTCTGGCAATTGTAAATGAATGACTCAAATTTGCATTTTCAAACCAAATTCATTTCCCAGTCAGCAGCACTCACTCGAACTATGATTCCCATCCGCTTGCTCTCATAGGTGAAGGGGAATATCTGCAGGATGGTGAAGTTCAGGATCTGTCCACTAGGAGTCCTCAGCTGCATGGAGTTGTGGTCCCGTCCGACCAGGGTCAGTCCAACACTCTCAGTCCACTGCACCAGCGACACCTAGCAAGGCAAGGCAGAGGAGACAGTTTGGTGAATGGGTGGTTATAAAAATAGATCCGTTGGTGAGGTAAATGGAGACTGGACCATTTTAACATGATGTACCTTTTCACAGGAAATAGCAATAAGCAGGAAATATTAAACTGAGCAAAGAGCACAGTTCTACTTCTGCTCAAATCAATTATAAAAGCATTTTCTGCACTCAAAGAAAATTGATTGATAAATTGATTGACAAACTAGGAAGATAATCATTTTAAAAGCCACATGCTGCATGTTCTTTCTGGTTTCTTTTGAAGGACACATGACGATAAAGCCAGATGACATTTAGAATCATTGAAGGAATCATTTCCGGAGGGTCAGAAGTTATTATTGCCCCATAACTTCCAGACCACCAGATATTAGCACAAGATCAAAAACACAATTCATCCCTCATGCCTACACTGACAGGTCTCTAACAGTGTACAAAACATTAAGAACACATGCTCTTTCCATGACATAGACTGACCAGGTAAATAAATCCAGGTGAAAGATATGATCCCTTATTGATGTCACTTGTTAAATCCACTTCAATCAGTGTAGATGAAGGGGAGGAGACAGGTTAAAGAAGGATTTTTAAGCCTTGAGACAATTGATACATGGATTGTGTATGTGTGCCATTCAGAGGGTGAATGGGCAAGACAAAAGATTGAAGTGCCTTTGAACGGTGTATGGTAGTAGGTGCCAGGCACACCGGTTTATGTCAAGAACTGCAACACTGCTGGATTTTTCACACTCAACAGTTTCCTGTGTGTATCAAGAATGGTCCACCACTCAGAGGACATCCAGCCAACTTGACACAACTGTGGGAAGCATTGGAGTCAACATGGGCCAGCATCCCTGTGGAATGCTTTCGACACGTTGTAGAGTCCATGCCCCGATGAATTGAGGCTGTTCTGAAGGCAAAAGGGGGGAAGGTGTTCCTTATGTTTGGTAAACTCAGTGTAGATCTCAGATGGACAGAACGAGGCATCAGTTGGCCCCTAAACACCCAGAGTCCAGTCCCAAACCAAGGCTCCTCCAGCTAACAAATAATCCTTATTTTATGCTAATATTTGGCCTGAGGCTATGCTTGGCCCTGATCTGAACTCCATAAACATCAACACAGCTCTGACTATCTTGTTGGTTTCGAAACATCAGGATTAAAAAAGATTGCACTGTCATCGGCATCGCGCCAACTACTGTGAATGGTTCAGACTTCACTGGAGCTGGTGATCAATATGGACATCCTGGGGATGAACTGTGGTGGGTTTTACTGATCCCTGTCCTGGTCGTTTGCATTGGCATTGCTTGCTGGTGTATCAAGAAGCGCAACAGAAGTAGAAACTATGTCATACAGGCCTCCTGTAGCTCAGTTGGTAGAGCATGGCGCTTGCAACGCCAGGGTTGTGGGTTCGATTCCCACGGGGGGCCAGTATGAAAAATGTATGCACTCACTAACTGTAAGTCACTCTGGATAAGAGCGTCTGCTAAATGACTAAAATGTAAATGTAATACAAGTTGGGGAGAATGAGGAGTTTGACTTAGTCATGGTAACATTAGAAGGCTACATTCACTGTGGAGGCATGCAGTAAACCAGCCTCCACCACAACAGCCCCACTTGGTAAGGGGAATGTCTGGGCCTGCTACTGGCAAATGGCTGGAGTCAAAACCACAGCTTGGCATAAACTAAAGTTCTTATTGGTCCTGCTTGGAAGTGGAACCGTCAAGAAATACTTGATACTCTTCTGGCTTTTTGTTATAGGAACACACTTCTCTTGAGTAGATATCACAATCAATATGTTAGACATAATATGTATGATATACTAAATAAGCAGATGTAAAAGCATAAGCTGTGGAAAAATTACTCCACACAACAACCAGGACTCTTCATTTTGATTTTATCAACAAAAAAAAAACGAGTTCATGTCTGGCAAACAGGTATCACATCCAACACAACAAAACAAGTTAGATAAATGGCTTGTGAATGGATTCCTACCAAAAACCACACATTCAACTGTCACTGGCATTGTGACCACTTCAACTGGCAGCCAACACCATATCTATATAAAGACTTCCTGAGAAGCCATTGGAAAACAAACTGAATTTGAGTCTAGATCATATCAAGCTGATAAAATATACCTATAGTAACAACAGCAAAAACATTCAATCAAGAAAGGAAATAACTACACATTGACTGATATTGTAACCTATGAGAAATGTTACCCACAATTCAATTTCTGGAAAACAATGCTCGTATTGCATGAAGTTGAGTATACACTAGGCCTCAACTCTCTACAAAGCAACATCTGTGGGCCATATCAAAGTATCTACAGTGAAGGTAGGAGATTCAAAGGGTGGATAGGGTAAGCCCAATGGACTGGGGAGCACATTAAGGAAATCCGTATTTACACTGCAGGAAATGGATCAAGCTGAATTCCCCCTCAGCCTTTTTCCTGGAGTTCAAAGGATTCCTAGTGATCCAGGACACAGCTAGGTACATGTGGAATGTAATTTGTCTCCTCAAGGTTTCCTTCAAGGGTAGCAGGTAGTCCACTGCATGGACCGATAAGGGTTCAAACTGCAAAACCATTTGAAGTGACTCTCTCCATCTTTTAATCTGGATTCCATTATTCTACTGTCACCATACCTACTGTAATGGCGTAGTGACAATTCCCCTTAAAATTTCTGAGGCTGTTGAGTAGACAACTCACAGGCTATTTTGGTATATGTGGGTCTATTTTTAACGAAGGAGTATATTATAACTGCGCAGAGCAAAATACTAACTACCTCCGGTTGCTGTGTTTATGGACAGCTATGTCTAGTATTGAGGGTGAGCCGTTGTGTACCTCATCTGGGCTGGCGGCCTGGTAAACTCTGCAGGTGTCCTCATAGTGCTGCTCCGCCTCGGCCTGGTCCGTCACGCCGTTGGCCTCGTACACGGGCGTCACACAGTGCACCAAGGCGATGGCCTTCACTGCCTCATGCACACGGCTGCTGATGGTCTTACGAACCTTAGTGGCTGCCGGAGCTCTGGATGCTGGAACGTCGTGAGAGGGCTGTGGGGAGGAAGGTATACAAAAGAAAAGTTAGCCAACTGAGTTGGAGTTGGATTATAAGCATCTATCTACCTGCAAGGTTTTCAATCATTGGTAGAGCGTTTAGTTAAACCTAACTTTTTTCCCAGCTATTCATTGATTGACAAACAGTCAGTGGTGGAAAAAGTACCCAATTGTCATACTTGAGTAAAAGTAAAGATACCTTAATAGAAAATAACTCAAGTAAAAGTGAAAGTCATCCAGTAAAACACTCACAGTATTTTGTTTTAAATATAGTATCAAAAGTCAATGTAATTGCTAAAATATTCTTACGTATCAAAAGTTAAATAATTTCATATTCCTTATTTTAAGCAAACCAGGCGGCATGGTTTTCTTGTTTTTTAAAATTTATGGACAGCCAGGGGCACACTCCAACACTCAGACATCCTTTACAAACAAAGCATTTGTGTTTAATAAGTCCGCCAGATCAGCGGCAGTAGGGATGACCAGGGATGTTCTCTTGATAAGTGTGTGAATTAGACCATTTTCCTGTCATGCTAATAAGTATAAGAAATGTAACGAGTACTTTTGGATGTCAGGGAAAATGTATGGATTAAAGTACATTATTTTCTGTAGGAATGTAGTGAAGTAAAAGTAAAAGTTGTCAAAAATATAAATAGTAAAGCACAGATACCCCAAAAAACGACTTAAGTAGTACTTTCATGTACTTTACACCACTGCAAACAGTCATCAGATAAACACATTATTTGTGGGAAAAACATGGATCTACATGTGCCTGTGAGCTGTCTTATCACTATGGTAACCTAGTCAAAGTATACGAAATATGTGTTTTGTAGTGCTAAAGAAATAACACTTCTCTGAACTGACTCAGTTCTAAAATGACTACCACACAAAGCCATTTGACTAACCCTTCCCTATACATTCATACCATCCACAGAGACACCGACGGCAAGTAAACACAACCAGATGTGTGAAGAAAGAAGAAATACAGTTGAAGTCGGAAGTTTACATACACCTTAGCCAAATACATTTAAACTCAGTTTTTCACAATTCCTGACATTTAATCCTAGTAAACATTACCTGTCTTAGGTCAGTTAGGATCACCACTTTATTTTAAGAATGTGAAATGTCAGAATAATAGCTTTTATTTCTTTCATCACATTCCCAGTGGGTCAGAAGTTTACATAAACTCAATTAGTATTTGGTAGCATTGCCTTTAAATTGTTTAACTTGGGTCAAATGTTTCGAGCAGCCTTCCACAAGCTTCCCACAATAAGTTGGGTGAATTTTGGCCAATTCCTCCTGACAGAGCTGGTGTAACTGAGTCAGGTTTGTAGGCCTCCTTACTCGCACACGCTTTTTCAGTTCTGCCCACAAATCTTCTATATGATTGAGGTCAGGGCTTTGTGATGGCCACTCCAATACCTTGACTTTGTTGTCCTTAAGCCATTTTGCCACAACTTTGGAAATATGCTTGGGGTCATTGTCCATTTGGAAGACCCATTTGCGACCAAGCTTTAACTTCCTGACTGATGTCTTGAGATGTTGCTTCAATATATCCACATAATTTTCCTTCCTCATGATGGCATCTATTTTGTGAAGTGCACCAGTCCCTCCTGCAGCAAAGCATCCCCACAGCATGATGCTGCCACCCCCGTGTTCCACGGTTGGGATGGTGTTCTTCGGCTTGCAAGCATACCCCTTTTTCCTCCAAACATAACGATGGTCATTATGGACAAACAGTTCTATTTTTGTTTCATCAGACCAGAGGACATTTCTCCAAAAAGTACGATCTTTGTCCCCATGTGCAGTTGCAAACCGTAGTCTGGCTTTTTTATGGCGGTTTTTGAGCAGTGGCTTCTTCCTTGCTGAGCGGCCTTTCAGGTTATGTCGATATAGGACTCGTTTTACTGTGGATATGGATACTTTTGTACCCGTTTCCTCCAGCATCTTCACAAGGTCCTTTGCTGTTGTTCTGGGATTGATTTGCACTTTTCGCACCAAAGTACGTTAATCTCTAGGAGACAGAACGCATCTCCTTCCTGAGCGGTATGACGGCTGCGTGGTCCCATGGTGTTTAAACTTGTGTACTATTGTTTGTACAGATGAACGTGGTACCTTCAGGCATTTGGAAATTGCTCCCAAGGATGAACCAGACTTGTGGATGTCTACAATTTATTTTCTGAGGTCTTGGCTGATTTCTTTAGATTTTCCCCATGATGTCAAGCAAAGAGGCACTGAGTTTGAAGGTAGGCCTTGAAATACATCCACAGGTACACCTCCAATTGACTCAAATGATGTCAATCAGAAGCTTCTAAAGCCATGACATCATTTTCTGGAATTTTCCAAGCTGTTTAAAGGCACAGTCAACTTAGTGTATGTAAACTTCTGACCCACTGGAATTGTGATACAGTGAATTATAAGTTAAATAATCTGTCTGTAAACAATTGTTGGAAAAATCGCTTGTGTCATGCACAAAGTAGATGTCCTAACCGACTTGCCAAAACTATAGTTTGTTAACAAGAAATTTGTGGAGTGGTTGAAAAACGAGTTTTAATGACTCCAACCTAAGTGTATGTAAAGTTCCGACTTCAACTGTATGTGTCACGATCGTTGAATGGAATGGACCAAGGCGCAGCGTGATGAGCGAACATACTTTATTATCAAAAGTGATAACATGAACAAAACAAATAAACGATAACGTGACGTCCTAGGTCTAATACAACCAACACGGAACAAACCAAAAGGAACAAGATCCCACAACAACTGTGGGAAAACAGCCTGTTTAAATGTGGTTCCCAATCAGAGGCAACCAGCACCAGCTGACACTCGTTGCCTCTGATTGAGAACCACACTGGCCAACATAGAAATGAAACAACTAGAACTACAACACAGAACACAAACACATAGAAACTACACACCCTGGCTCAACATATAGAGTCCCCAGAGCCAGGGTGTGACAGTACCCCCCCCCAAAGGCGCGGACTGCGACCGCGCCTCAACATAAACCAAACAGGGGAGGGCTGGGTGGTCATTCCTCCTCGGAGGCGGTTCCGGCTCCGGGCTTGCCCACCACCCTCCAATAATCCCCCCGTAGCGCCCCTGGTCCGGTCTGGCCCCGCTGGCTGGAGCTGGACTGGACATCGTAGGAGCGGATTGCTTAAGCTCCGGTGTGGAGCAGCTGACCGGTACCTGACCAGGCACCGGTGACCCAGGCATGGGTTGTGCCGGGCTGACGACTCGCACCCCTGGCTTGGTGCGTGGAGCAGGAACGGGCCGGACCGGGCTGACGACGCGCACCCCTGGCTTGGTGCGTGGAGCAGGAACGGGCCGGACCGGGCTGACGACGCGCACCCCTGGCTTGGTGCGTGGAGCAGCAACGGGCCGGACCGGGCTGACGACGCGCACCCCTGGCTTGGTGCGTGGAGCAGCAACGGGCCGGACCGGGCTGACGACGCGCACCCCTGGCTTGGTGCGTGGAGCAGCAACGGGCCGGACCGGGCTGACGACGCGCACCCCTGGCTTGGTGCGTGGAGCAGGAACGGGCCGGACCGGGCTGACGACGCGCACCCCTGGCTTGGTGCGTGGAGCAGGAACGGGCCGGACCGGGCTGACGACGCGCACCCCTGGCTTGGTGCGTGGAGCCGGAACGGGCCGTACCGGGCTGACGATGCGCACCCCTGGCTTGGTGCGTGGAGCAGGAACGGGCCTTACCGGGCTGACGACTCGCACCCCTGGCTTGGTGCGAGTGGCAGGAACAGACCGGGCCGGGCTGGCGACGCGCACCGTAGGCTTGGTGCGAGTGGCAGGAACAGGCCGGGCCGGGCTGGCGACGCGCACCGTAGGCTTGGTGCGAGTGGCAGGAACAGGCCGGGCCGGGCTGGCGACGCGCACCGTAGGCTTGGTGCGAGTGGCAGGAACAGGCCGGGCCGGGCTGGCGACGCGCACCGTAGGCTTGGTGCGAGTGGCAGGAACAGGCCGGGCCGGGCTGGCGACGCGCACCGTAGGCTTGGTGCGAGTGGCAGGAACAGGCCGGGCCGGGCTGGCGACGCGCACCGTAGGCTTGGTGCGAGTGGCAGGAACAGGCCGGGCTGGGCTGGCGATGCGCACCGGAGGCTTGGTGCGAGGAGCAGGAACAGGCCGGGCCGGGCCGGGCTGTGGAGACGGATAGGAGGCCTGGAGTGAAGAGCTGCCACAACCCGTCCTGGCTGAATGCCTACCTTCACACACTCTGTGTGAGTCATCAGCACAGGACGTACAGGGCTGTGTACCCGTACTGGCATAACAGCACGTGACACTGGCGCAGGATATCCGGGACCGAGGAGAGGCACTGGAGACCACGAGCGCTGAGCCGGCACACTCCGTCCTGGCTGCATGCCCACCTTCGCACGACACGTGCGGGGTGATCGCACAGGACGTACCGGACTATGCCGGACCACTCGTGGCACAGTACGCAGCTCCGCATACCCCGGAACCTGCCCAGTCTCATGCTGCCATGCCTGAGTACGGGGAGTTGGCTCTGCTCTCCATCCAGGCTCCGCCAACCTGCCTTCTGGCCCCCCAAACCCGGTGGCCTCCTCTCCTAATCTCCCATCTCGCCCTGTGGCAGTCTCCTGCTGCCCATTCGCCCATGCCGTGTGCCCCCCCCCTAAAAATTTTCTGGGGTTGCCTCTCGTCCTCTCTCGCCAGGGCCTTAACCTTAGCCCATGGCCCTTTTCCCCCGAGCATGTCCTCCCAGGACCACAATTGGCCCACCTGGGCCATCGCCAACCTCTCCAGCTCCTTTCCCGGCGCTTCCTCCCATGTCCAGGCCGCCTGCTCCTGGACACGCTGCTTGGTCCTGGTATGGTGGGATCTTCTGTCACGATCGTTGAACGGAATGGACCAAGGCGCAGCGTGATGAGCGAACATACTTTATTATCAAAAGTGATAACACGAACAAAACAAATAAACGATAACGTGACGTCCTAGGTCTAATACAACCAACACGGAACAAACCAAAAGGAACAAGATCCCACAACAACTGTGGGAAAACAGCCTGTTTAAATGTGGTTCCCAATCAGAGACAACCAGCACCAGCTGACACTCGTTGCGTCTGATTGAGAACCACACTGGCCAACATAGAAATGAAACAACTAGAACTACAACACAGAACACAAACACATAGAAACTACACACCCTGGCTCAACATATAGAGTCCCCAGAGCCAGGGTGTGACAGTATGAACAATCAGCATTAGTATCTTGCTGCGGTTATTTTTAGGCCAGGCGTCATGTTTCCACAGGGGTTAATGGTGGCGCCATTAAACTAGGGCCGGTCACTGTTAGTGGGCTCTGGGGCTAGTGGCTAATCCGGTTTCCTGCTCCACTAACCTCTGGTGTCAAAGGGACAAAAACTGTCATTATTGGTCGGGAAGCATTCAGCCAAACAATAATCATATAAATGATATGTTGCTAAAACAATATGCCCCTAAGACAAGGGTTTTTGTTACTTGTTTTGACACAGAATTTCAAGCATCGACTGTCCTACCGATTAGTGATCCATTCGTTACACACAGCCCATATGGACTGATGCAGAGCCATAGGTCTACATAGAGAGTTTGGCCATTGCCGTTTCTGTCAATTACATTCTATGTGTGCCACAACTATCTCTATATTAGTGCTGACCCCAATTATTCGACTGGTCGATTGTTTGGTCGATAGGCTGTTGGTCGACCAAGATTATTTTAGTCGAGCAGTAGCAAATATAAATATATTTGCACCCATCTCAGTGAACTAATCTATTGCAGAGACTAAAAGCCAAATTATGCTTGATCTGACCACATTGGAGGCTCCATATGGATGGTGTGCCGCAATTCCGGAGCCTCTAGAGGCATGCAGAGGCCATATCGAGCTCCGTACCGCAATGTGGAGGGCTCTGTATAGCTCCGCATTGACATAATTGGTTGACGGTAGGTGGGGGCGGTACATCCTGTATAAACACAAACTCACTTCCTTGACAACTTCCTTTACAACAGCTCTGCACTGCTCCGCGAAGCGCAAGAAGTATGAATGCCCTTACTTCTGCCACCACTAATGAGCTGTGGAGCTTCTCAAAGTAATGTTTTCTTCACCTCAAAAAGCAAGCAAATAAAGTCTGTTTTTACATCCACTGAGAATGACAATAGTTCCTCAATGTAGGCTATTTGAAAAATCTTTCCAGCTCTCTCACTTTCGATAACCACTCAGCATGAAAGGGAAACATGTCATACTCTGATCCAGTGGAAACGTAATAAAATAGGCCTACCTTATTACTTCTTATCAGTGCTTGACTTGGACTGAAATAGGTTCTGGTACTCATTTTGGGTGCTGGTTCTGTTTACATTTAGGTGCAGGAGCTCCACAATACGTTTGAACTAATATTCTATAAGAGGAACAGGAGCTCAAGCAGTAGATAATTTGAGGTGCCGGTACTCAGCTCCGGTGAACTCCTTCCCACGTCAAGCACTGCTTCTTATCCCTTGCGCAAATAGCCTACAGCTGTGTCACGAGCTCACTGGCACAGGAAACTCTGAGGGCCCAGAATATTTAATACAATGTCGCTAGAGCAAGCTTCGGGCTGGACCCAAGTTAATCGTTGATAAAAATGTTCAAGTTTTTTGCAGAGAGGCCATGCGTAGCCAATGTGATTTATAGGATTGTATTTTTTTTTCAGGATATTTTCTACCTACAGGCTGCAATGTTTTTATCTGTTGGCATTATGTAGTGTTTTTACATAGTTGGCAAAGGCAATAGAAGTTACTTTTTAGGTTTGTATCATTTTCATTTAGATTTGAATAGAATTTTGATTAACCACATGACAATGATTTTCAAATATGAAGACGTTATTATAAATGAAATGAAACTGTTCCACGAAAATTTGCATATGATCGGAAGAAATGGTAAGATAAATTGGCATTTTACATGAGAAAGGTTGCCAACTCCTTGTGTAGCCTATTACCGCCAACTTCAGGAGAGTAATGGCCGAATCTGCGAAAACCAGCAGGAGCAGGAGGAAAATGGTTGGGTCAGGTTAAGGTTTTTTTTCTTCCTCTAGATCTCTGGCTCCCTCGAGTCATTTGCGTCTTACTTCATCAAACAGTAAGCTTAAAGCATCAGACAAGCTCAATGCATATAGTTGATTTTATTAAAACACATAGGGTGTGTCTATATATGGAAAAATACATGTTAAAAAATTTGGTCGAAAGAACAGACGACTTTCGGACGAGCAAGTTTTTTTGTTGTTGTCGGGGACAGCCTTACTCTATATGGTTGGTGGTGTTGGTTATTGTTTACCTGTGTGTAAGCACTGAACACGTGGCTCTGCACCTCATCCATGGAGTCCATTCCATAGGCCACCGTTCCAAGATGGAGGCGACGGAACACCATCTCATTCTGGGTGAGAGTCCCTGAATCAAACACACAACCACAATGTATTCTATTTGTAACATTTCTACTGAAAGTGGGGTTATACTCATTGGTGTCAGAAGTGCTGGAAGCCACATGATAGTGTTGGTGTTAAAATGATTATAATAATTTAAACTTTGATTTTTAAACAGTTTACTAAGTCGCTGCTCCTGACACCATTTCCATGCTTTCAGTGTCCTGGCTGTCCTGACACTCACTTTAAAAGCCCCTCTCTCTGTAGGTAGTATTTCAGGATGACCGGAGAGGCCCCTACAGCACATACATTAGACTGACCTTTGACCCCTATCGCCCTGATCACTATGTGGGAAAATCCAGTATAATTTTATTGGCGGTCAGGGTCGTAAATTGAAGAGGGGTACAGGCCAGTTCCTGAGGGTGTGTGTGTGCGTGTGTGCATGCATGCGTGAAAGTGTATTTTAGCTGTAAGGAGTGTGTAGAGACAGGAGACTTCAGGCCCGTTTTGATTTAAAGCTACAATAATTAGCATGTCTCTGAGAGTCGCACACAGCCCAAAGCCCTAGGGACGGGTCAGCCCTAGCAATGTCATACTGGACACAACCTTAGCACATCTTCAACACTATCATCTCACATACAACAGACTAAGATGTTGGGTCAATTTCCTCTTCTGACCACTAAAGCAAGATACATACATTTGGCATTCTCATTATGTAGCCACTATACTCTTCCTGTGCACTACAACATTAAGTTGTTTTATGCAAACATTAAATACTACACTCATGTTTTATACCACAGTTACGTCTGATGTGATATTGAGGACAGTTACATGCACACAATAATATGATTATTGTGGATAGTCAGATTCATATAATAGTTTGTTTAAAACGTTTACATGCTTTGCAAGAAGAACGATTTCCCTAATAATCCTGTTTACATGGACACATCTGAAATCAGGCTACTGATGGGCCTTTTGATAAATGCAGAAAATCGGCAATAAAAATACACGTTCTACCACAGTGACCATGTTATTTTTGCGAAGACCAGGGTTGGGTAGGTTTAGGTTCTAAATGTTATTCCTTACAGTTACTAGTTGCCCGTCCAAAATTGTAATCAGTAACATAACTTTTGCATTTCCCAAACTCAGTAATGTAATCTGATTACTTTCAGTTACTTTTAGGTTAGTAGCTGGCACAGCCACAAAGTCATTAAATCTGATTTTAAACCTAACCTTAAACACACTGCTAACCCTAATGCCTAACCCGAACATTAAATAAAGACCAAAAAATACATTTTTGTTTTCATACATTTTTACAATATAGCGCATTTTGACTTTGAAGCTGGCCCATCTAGCGGAAATCACTCAGTTCTGCCTCAAGGACCAATAAACATCAACCTTGCTTCGAGTTGAAAAATAAATGCTGCTCTCGGAATGGCATGCTTTGAGCACTACCAAAAAGTGCTATTTGCATTTTAAAAATGTATTCCATATGCTGCATTTGCTATAGGCCTATTGTTTAAGTTTTTGTTGGTGACACTTTGATATCTGGATAATTTGCAGCTGTTTGTCTACGAAAAGTGCACGAGTTGAGCATGTGTCTGTTCGGCCTATGGTAAAACAATTATAATCAGAGTTTCTATTGGACAAATTCTGGTAGGTCCCCCCTTATTCACTACACCGATTCTGTTGCAAAATGTTTCTTAAACGGAAGCAAATGGAACGAAACGGGGAGGGACCTACCAGAATTTGTCAAATAGAAAGTCTTGTTTTGCTCTGTTTGCTTCCGCTTGGTTCTTAAACGGTAAACGGTTTCCGTAATGAATACACCTCTGGTCTCAAAAACAATCATTAATAGGCAGCTTAAACTTCTACAATTCAACCATTATTGGGTTAGAATACACATATACATTTGTGAACAGCCATCCACAACAACCACAATCCGTAAGGCGCAAATAGCTAAATGAGAGAGCAGCAGTGTGATTCACATTAATGCGCTATGTAGCCTATAATAGGCTTAAGTGATATCCGTGTCACCCGTAGGCTACACCACTGCTGTCGTCCTTACCTCCAAGCGTTTAATCAAGTTCGATAATCTTTGGATGCCAACAGCAGTCGCACCATTGGAAGACATAGGTTGGACTGTAGCCTACAAAAGCCTATTCCTGCTCTTTTCCCACGATCCATCAAACACATTTGGTGTGCCATCAGTGGTCTCTGACTCAACAAAGGCACAACAAACTTAAACTTGTGCCTTTTTTTAATGCTGATTTGAACATCATTGAGAAAACAGAAAGGTGTCCAAAAAAAATTGTGCAAACATCCTTTCTGAATGTCAAAGTATCTCGTTTTTCAAAAGTATCTGTAATCTGTTTACAATATTTTTGCATGTAACGTAACGGATTACAGTTACAGATGTACTGTAATCCGTTACATGTAATCCATTACTCACCAACCCTGGCGAAGACTATTTGATTCTGAGTTTGAACATATAAAGTTTGTATGTGAAAACTATTTCTAAGATGCATCACCTCCCGAGTGGCGCAGTGCTAGCTGTGCCACTAGAGATCCTGGTTCGAATCCAGGCTCTGTCGTAGCCGGCCGCGACCGGGAGACCCATGGGGCGGCGCACAATTGGCCCAGCGTCGTCCAGGGTAGGGGAGGGAATGCCCGGCAGGGATGTAGCTCAGTTGGTAGAGCATGGCGTTTGCAACGCCAGGGTTGTGGGTTTGATTCCCACGGGGGGCCAGTATGAAAATTAAAAAATAATGTATGCACTCACTAACTGCAAGTCGCTCTGGATAAGAGCGTCTGCTAAATGATGTAAATGTAAATGTATAAATGTATGCATACTTTTCTGTTTTTCCGAACTCTCTTCACTCGCGCATAAGATGGAGGCTTGCGCTACCAGTGCTGGCACATGCGCAGATCAAATACACAGCTGGAACGCGATTAAGCCGTTTACATGCCCTAATAATTTGAAAGACTTCTCAGAAAACCAGGTGCTTTAATCCGCGTATGCTTACTTCGATTATGACCTTATGCCGATTAAGATAAGCAGAATAAGATGTTTACATGACTAATGCCATACTCTGCCTTCTGCCATAATCAGTTTAATATCGAATTATTAGTGTGCATGTAAACGTACTCATTGACTAAACTGACAGTTTATGGAAGCACTCTCACCTCATAAGATCAATACAGAGTCCACAGCCACATAGCCATGATAGTCCGGCGGGCCGTAATTACATATGTATGTCTATAAACCACAAAAGTAGCAGACTCACCTGTTTTGTCAGTGAGCAGGTAGGAGATACGTCCCAGTTGTTCAGGTATAGTGCTGGCCCTGACCACAGTACCTGGGATCTTAGAGTCTCTTCTGATCATCCAGCTGAACACATCTTGCCCATGTCCAGGTTCACACGCAAGCTGGACACAAGGTTCACATTTTATTTATTTAAAACAAGACTCCCAGTTACATATTTTGGATATCAATGGTTTTAGGTTGTCCATCAAACATATTCATAAGCATATGTAGAAACAAATAAGCAAGGATAGATGTTGATGTACATAAACCCCAATTGAAAATACCACCTTTTGGTAACACTTACTGTGCTCAGTTATTACAAGTGTAACAACATGGTTACATATTACCTTATTAATTGCTTTAAAATTATCTAATTTAAATTAGATAGAAAGTGAGTTAAAACTCCTACCTGATGGGGACGATGTTAGAGAAAAGCAGTAGGAAGCGGAAGATCTGCAGATACCAACGGCCGGCAAAGTGTTGGAGGGCCACCATGACCAGAGACACCACCACCAGAGCCCCAAACAGGATCTTGGTCAAACAGTTCACTTCCAGGTCAAAGAGGCCAACCTAGAAGAACCACAAGGAGAACATCATCAGGCAGTACAACTTTTTTGAAACACTCTCAGAACAGTCTCAATACTATATTACAGAAAATAAATTGACAGAAATTATACTAATATTGGTAGCACTTTATTTTATGGTACAGCATTTACTAGGGTATTTACTAAGAAATTACATGATTAAATGATAACCTATTAACCCTACAGATAATGTACATGTCTTTATCTACTAAAGGAAAACGCCATAATAATAATAATAATAATAATAATAATAATATGCCATTTAGCAGACGCTTTTATCCAAAGCGACTTACAGTCATGCGTGCATACATTTATTTTGTGTATGGGTGGTCCCGGGGATCGAACCCACTACCTTGGCGTTACACGCGCCGTGCTCTACCTGCTGAGCTACAGAGGACCACGTGCAGGGTGTTTTACTGTGGCTAACACTAATATACCTTGTGCCTTGGGTTTGAGGTGTTCATCACACTCCGGAGCTCCTTGCCTGTGTAGATAACTACTCCCACCACAGTGCCTACAGAGAAAGAACATTATAGTAATTGGCTGAGACTTTTAAGTCTGGAATCATAAACCATAACATGTAATATAGCATATAGCAGCAAGCATATTTTGAAATATATAACGACAGTAGGAATACGTGAGACAGACTGCCAATTTGCCAAATGACTACCATTTGTTATATAGGTTAGACTCTGGAATCTCTATGTAGTGTTTTTTTCCTTTAGGAAAACGTTGTCTCTTATGGTTAACTGCCCCTGAACTGTTTCTAAATGACCAAATGTTTGATTGCACCGGTGTGTGTGTGTGTGTGTAGGAGGACAAATCATCAGTACATCAAGTGTGGAGGAAGCAATGCCTCATCACAGCTCTAGGGATGGAGGGAGGGAGAGAGAGATGGAGGGCGGGCTGGTACTAGTTACTTCCATGTTATTAGCTGCTTCAGTGGAGAGACAGAGCACACTACTGGGCGAGTTGGTATTTACCAGAGGCGATGACAGTGCTGGCCCACAGGGTATTCTCAATACTGAGACTCTCGTTGACTGGAGGGTCTCCATCCTCCTAAAGCACAGCACATAGGACACAAAAAACAGAGTAAGGGGCATTACTCTACGAAAACAGAAGGCAGTCTTTCTTCAAAGTTGACTAGATATAGTGGCAATTATCTTTATGTGAGTATTTAGCAGGTCTTATTCAAGAAAAGTCAAATAGAATTGTCCGGGTAAACACTCACCCTGGTGAAAGTGCCAATAAAGTTGTGGATGTCAATGTTTGGTTCCTCTGCATACACATAGGATCTGATCTGGAGAAGGTCCTGGAGGAGCAATCACAACATGGTCACTTGATAACCGATAACAATTCTAAGAACATCCCCAAAAAACATGAGATGTGGCATTACTTTACTAAAAATGTCTGTAGTCAGTGCAGTGCCAACTTTGCACTCTACTACAGATATAGCAGAGCAGCCATTTGGTCTGGTGACTCACAGCAGCAGTGGGCAGTCTCTGAGTACAGGCCACTGGGAGGCGTAGTTTCCAGTCCGTCTCTCCATCCAGCTGGTCAGTACGCAGGAAGCAGGAGCCTGGGATAAGGGAGGAGAAGAACTGATGATCTAGAATGGAGTCACAAACACCTCCAGGGGGCTCTACTGTATAAGCTTTAGAGACCGCAGAAGCATTCAGAGTTTTAGGGTCTCTATGGTACCAATAACTTATTTCTGTATATCTAAAATAAAAACGTAAATATGTCTTACCCTATCAATTTTGTAACTTGCTTCAACTTCTGGCCTTATTTTATTTGGTGCATCCTTTGTTCCCTCTATCTTTCAACATAAACATATCTTACCGAATGACAAAGGTCATCTTATTACAAAATAGTGTTCATATATGAATTGTGCCCAACTGCACATTACTCTGGGGATCAACAAGTAGAGGCATCCATGCCGACCCAGCCCTCATCCCCCACAGCCTCCAGTAACCCAGCCCCCAAACCTCAGCCCGCCCTGCGTCATCCTGCCTGCCTGTCTGTAGCTGAGAACACTGAGCATAGCTAGGCCCTTCATAATTGACATAATGGCCTCCATGTGTTATAGAGATAACCAACCAACCACTCTTTCCAGTAAAAGAAATGTGTTTTTTTCATCGAAAAGCACAACCAAGTATGCTTCATTTAGTTTGTGTTACTCCAAATCAAAATGATAAAAGTGTAAGGTTATGGTGTTTTACTGCACATTTTCAATGGATCCCAACCGCTGCTAGTTATCGAGGGGGCGGTGCTGTATTTGTTGTGTACAAGACAATAAGCCTGTCGGAGACAGCATTGTTTTGCATGGGAGCAATTCATTGTGTTTCTGTCATCACTCTTCCAAATCTCATTCAATTCCACATTTGTTTATTCAGATTAGGCTCCATCTTTGTACCTTGATTCCCCCATCTTCTCTTTGCATTTGATATGTTCTTTCTATTCTACACTTTGCATATCTTGGTGATTTTCCTTAGGATGCAACTTGTAATTTGAAAGACAAAAATGGTCAATCGAGATCTTAGGGAAAATAAATGGCCCATGCTTCTTCTACCACACCCCGTCATCACCATTCAACTTAAATGGAAACAAAAAGGAAGCAACCCCCCCCCCCCCCCCCCCCCCCCCCCCCCAAAAAAAAAAAAAAACTAGTTCTAGACTAATCCCTTCACCTCACCACCCGTTTTAAACATGCCATTTCCCCAACTATCTTGTTTTGGAGATTTGGATGAATGACCAGCAGATGTTTACCGTTTCTTTCAGAGGTCCTTAAGAAGATCATGTCAGCAGGAACTCGCTGGTTCTACAAAGAAAAGACAGAGAAGAAAAACATGACTTCAACTTGCATCCTGTTATAACCCCCCTCCTCCTCCTTCTCTAACTGTAGACGTTCAGACTTTTGCCTTTAATGTACATTACCTGCATTCAGCTAGTCATAATAATAAGCCCTGCAGCAAATCATCCAGCCTTACTTACCCTAACTGGGAGCCTGACCGTGCTTTACCCTCTGTTTGACCTAGACTTCACTGTGACTGAGTCCTGGTAAGAGTTATTGGAAGATTAATTCTCAATGCTATTTAAGTTGACAGACTTCAAAACATTGAGCTGGACATGGATTATTTTAAGTGGTCGATGGGTTTAATAAAGATTTACTGTGGCACTTCAGATCCATGCGGCGGTACAAATTTGGAATGTTATATATTTTGATATTTTAACAAATTTCATATCTGAAGATCATAACAACAATTCAGAGTTTGATTTACTTTGAATGTCTCTCAGTCATGGATAAAATATATCAAATGTATAGAGAACATGACCTGTCCTTCAGCTGTGTTTAACTGAACCTTTCAGAAAGAAGTGGCCAGTTGGTAGCTGAGGACTCCCGTCTCATATTTCATGTACAAAGACTCCCAGAATCTACTCTTTCTACAATAGCCAGCAAAAAAGATGATGAGGCAACTGGCCAAACAGATTGGGAAGTCTGTTAGAATTACTTAACATACTTTTAACAGCAACAGCATAATGTTACCAGTGTTGTGACATTCAAATTAGCCTCACAAATGGCATCAATAGTATCCCAATTGATTGCTTTGTTTTAACTTTCCTACATGGATATGCCAAATTAACTTAATGTATTTTTAAGTGCAACTATCTGATAAGACTTTATTGGTATTTTATGGGTTGTCTATATCCTACAAGTTTAGCCTACATTTTTTTTGTCAATGGCATCAATAATCAAAATGTCACATAATTTGGGGTTTTCTGATCCAATTAAGAGCATTTCAAGTTTGCGTCAGTTACATCTGCATTGAGTTTGACATACTCAAGCTCAGCAGCATTGATCACAAGATTACAAAATCTTTACTAACTCCTTTCACCTCAAGTCACCAGTCTAGCGCAGCAGATTAACAGGCCGTCATTAGTCTTTGTCATATAAATAGCAACTTGACGGTAAGTAGTAGGCCTAATTCATTGATGCAGTTGAGGCGAAATCTATGAAGTGATACAAACCTTGTCCACGATTATAAGGTCTCCAACTTGAATGCCACTGCTTTTCACCTTCACAGTGCCTGAAATAAAAACAAATGTAAAATTAATATTCAATAAGTATTTTTAGATTGCAGAATGTTGAGTTGAGGTGCCCAAATTCATTTTGATAATCATAATCGTATAGACCAAACAAAGGATGAACAGATATGTGTATACAGTGAGGGAAAAAAGTATTTGATCCCCTGCTGATTTTGTAAGTTTGCCCACTGACAAATCAATTATCAGTCTATAATTTTAATGGTAGGTTTATTTGAACAGGAGACACAGAATAACAACAAAAAAATCCAGAAAAACGCATGTCAAAAATGTTATAAATTGATTTGCATTTTAATGAGGGAAATAAGTATTTGACCCCTCTGCAAAACATGACTTAGTATTTGGTGGCAAAACCCTTGTTGGCAATCACAGAGGTCAGACGTTTCTTGTAGTTGGCCACCAGGTTTGCACACATCTCAGGAGGGATTTTGTTCCACTCCTCTTTGCAGATCTTCTCCAAGTCATTAAGGTTTCAAGGATGATGTTTGGCAACTCGAACCTTCAGCTCCCTCCACAGATTTTCTATGGGATTAAGGTCTGGAGACTGGCTAGGCCACTCCAGGACCTTAATGTGCTTCTTCTTGAGCCACTCCTTTGTTGCCTTGGCCGTGTGTTTTGGGTCATTGTCATGCTGGAATACCCATCCACGACCCATTTTCAATGCCCTGGCTGAGGGAAGGAGGTTCTCACCCAAGACTTGACGGTACATGGCCCCGTCCATCGTCCCTTTGATGCGGTGAAGTTGTCCTGTCCCCTTAGCAGAAAAACACCCCCAAAGCATAATGTTTCCACCTCCATGTTTGACGGTGGGGATGGTGTTCTTGGGGTCATAGGCAGCATTCCTCCTCCTCCAAACACGGCGAGTTGAGTTGCTGCCAAAGAGCTCCATTTTGGTCTCATCTGACCACAACACTTTCACCCAGTTCTCCTCTGAATCATTCAGATGTTCATTGGCAAACTTCAGACGGGCATGTATATGTGCTTTTTTGAGCAGGGGGATCTTGCGGGCGCTGCAGGATTTCAGTCCTTCACGGCGTAGTGCGTTACCAATTGTTTGCTTGGTGACTATGGTCCCAGCTGCCTTGAGATCATTGACAAGATCCTCCCGTGTAGTTCTGGGCTGATTCCTCACCGTTCTCATGATCATTGCAACTCCACGAGGTGAGATCTTGCATGGAGTCCCAGGCCGAGGGAGATTGACAGTTCTTTTGTGTTTCTTCCATTGTCACCTTCTCACCAAGCTGCTTGGCGATGGTCTTGTAGCCCATTCCAGCCTTGTGTAGGTCTACAATCTTGTCTCTGACATCCTTGGAGAGCTCTTTGGTCTTGGCCATGGTGGAGAGTTTGGAATCTGATTGATCGATTGCTTCTGTGGACAGGTGTCTTTTATACAGGGATGTAGCTCAGTTGATAGAGCATGGCGTTTGCAACGCCAGGGTTGTGGGTTCGATTCCCACGGGGGGCCAGTATGAAAAATTAAAAAATAATGTATGCACTCACTAACTGTAAGTCGCTCTGGATAAGAGTGTCTGCTAAAAACAACTGAGATTAGGAGCACTCCCTTAAAGAGTGTGCTCCTAATCTCAGCTCGTTACCTGTATCAAAGACACCTGGGAGCCATAAATCTTTCTGATTGAGAGGGGGTCAAATACTTATTTCCCTCATTAAAATGCAAATCAATTTATAACATTTTTGACATGCGGTTTTCTGGATTTTTTTGTTGTTGTCTCTCACTGTACAAATAAACCTACCATTAAAATTATAGACTGATTATTTATTTGTCAGTGGGCAAACTTACAAAATCAGCAGGGGATCAAATACTTTTTTCCCTCACTGTACGTTGTTTTATGGACATTCCATTCCTCTTAGAAGGGGAGGAATAGAGAAAAATGACCCAAACAAGTAAAAATCTAAAACGTCCATGTAAATGTTCACATAGCTCAAACAGGATCTATGGTAGTGAGACATCCTGGTATCATTAACGTCATTCAAAGACACAGTAGTTAAAACCCTACTCTTCAGACTCCCTACTTCTCTTCTCATGGCCCTACATACAGAAATACTTTAAATTGTATTGTTTATGTCCAACTGTCTCCTCCTGGTTGCCTAGCAAATGTGGACAACTGCTGTTATAGATTTCCTTCCGCTAAATTTTGGGAAAGTAATTTTCCATGTAGGCCTAGATCTGAAAGCATGTTGGGAGAGCCTTTTCTTCCATTCCATTTGGAATGAACAGGCAAAAATAGTTTGGAGGGGGTCACTGACCCATGACCTTTGCTGTGACCTCATGTTTTTGCATATGTAAGACATTAAAGGACATTAATTTTGCTATGCATTTAGGTTTATGGGACTCTAAAAACTGTTCTGTTTCACAAAGATAATTAAACTGTAGGCTAGCTTGCTATTTACAAATATCTGATGGAGGGCAGCTTATCAATATTTAAAAAAACGTCCCAATACATTTCTGTAATAATCAGTCTGAAATCAAAATCCTAAACATAAATTAAGAATGATCTACTTTAAATGATGAATACTGCAATTATACAGGATGAAACAAAAATCCTGGGTAAACAACAGTTTGTTTTTGCTTTTGACAAAGTACTTGATCAGTCAGAGCAGAACAACAATCTACAGGCATCTCATGCCATTGGCTCTCATTCCCCAGACCCCATGCAGCAAGTCACTGGGGGCACTATCATGGAAGCAACCATTAATTGTGTTTATGAGTAAAACAAGCTGCCAGATCAAAGGGGAAAAGTGATGGAAACCACAAGAGGTCTCTTGGTTTTTATTGCTGGTAGCACTTTATTCCAAGCCCTCTTACGTGTACACTTTTACATCTCTGCTTTGAATTAGGCATCACTCCCCTCCCAGTTTAAACAGGACACGACCAACCTTCATACAGTTAACTGGAGACACCCACTATTCAAATTCAACTAGGCATTTACATTAATCTGAATGGGTGCATCAGAAAACTTGGTGGTTTTGATTTGTATGAGTGGTTACTTTGGACGTTTTGTTGATGGTATTTATGTTATTGTTCAGTCTCCATATTGTGTGCAATGACTGAAAACAAATCCTTACCTCTTGTTGAGAGCTTGCTATATATCTGTGAATTTACTTCTTTGTCTCGACAATAACATCGGATCTCTTCAACTGCTTCTCTCATGATGGTTATGATCAAAACAAATCCCTGAAAAGCAAAAATAAGACAAACCCAGTTAAACAATATTGTATTATTAGCAAGTGAGTAGTGGATCACGTGAAAACGTAATGCTACATGACTTGACATTTAAAAAACGCTGCTTACCAAAGGAACCCAGTAGGTGTACAGAGCACCTAGCCTGAGCTCATTGACAAACTGAGAGCATGCCAGGAGCAGAAAGTAGAAGTTGAAGAAGTACTTGAACTGATTAAACAGCACCTGAAAACACACAAATGAACAATATGATTTCGCATGAACACAAGAACCAATCATCAATGTGTCTTTACACTATAGGAGTCTAGAAATATATGCATGATGTGTTAATCAGGGTCATGTTCATTAGGCACAAAAACTGAAGACTAAAATAAGCTTATAGTTTGCAATTGTGTGATTGTTATTTTGTTGCTTGCCATATGGTTCCACATACATATCCACACACAAATACATTCTATATGATACACTACATGACCAGAAGTATGTGGACACCTGCTCGTCGAACATCTCATTGCAAAATCATGGGCATTAATATGGAGTTGGTCCCCCCTTTGCTGCTATAACAGCCTCCACTCTTCTTGGAAGGCTTTCCACTAGATTGGAACATTGCCGCGGGGACTTGCTTTCATTCAGCCACAAGAGCATTAGTGAGGTCAGATACTGATGTTGGGCGATTAGGCCTGGCTCGCAGTCGGTGTTCCAATTCATCCCAAAGGTGTTCGATGGGGTTGAGGTCAGGGCTCTGTGCAGGCCAGTCAAGTTCTTCCACACTGATCTCGACAAACCATTTCTGTATGGACCTTGCTTTGTGCACGGGGGGCATTGTCATGCTGAAACAGGAAATGGCCTTCCCCAAACTGTTGCCACAAAGATGGAAGCACAGAATCTTCTACAATGTCATTGTATGCTGTAGCGTTAATATTTCCCTTCACTGGAACTAAGGAGCCTAGCCGAACCATGAAAAACAGCCAGAGACCATTATTCCTCCTCCACCAAAGTTTACATTTGGTGGTAGCATTCTCCAGGCATCCGCCAAACTCCGATTGGTCCGTCGGACTGCCAGATGGTGAAGCGTGATTCATCACTTCAGAGAACACGTTTCCACTGCTCCAGAGTCCAATGGCGGTGAGCTTTACACCACTCCAGCCGAGGCTTGGCATTGCGCATGGTGATCTTAGGTTTGTGTGCGGCTGCTTGGCCATGGAAACCCATTTCATGAAGCTCCCGACAAACACATATTGTGCTGACGTTGCTTCCAGAGGCAGTTTGGAACTTGGTAGTGAGTGTTGCAACCGAGGAGAGACGATTTGTACGCGCTACAGCACTCAGTGGTCCCATTCTGTGAGCTTGTGTGGCCTACAACTTCGCGGCTGAGCCGTTGTTGCTCCTAGACGTTTCCACTTCACAATAACAGCACTTACAGAGATATGACGAACTGACTTGTTGGAAAGGTGGCATCCTATGACGGTGCCACATTGAAAGTCACTGAGCTCTTCAGTAAGGCCATTCTACTGCCAATGTTTGTATATGGAGATTGCATGGCTGTGTGCTCAATATTATACACCTGTCAGCAACAGGTGTGGCTGAAATAGCCGAATCCACTAATTTTAAGGGCTGTCCACATAGTTTTGTATATATAATGTATGTCTTAACACAGATGGACATTAACTTTTTCAGTGCCACCCACAGTCAAGTATAGATTTAACAGTCACACTACACCTTGGCTGAATTTCATTACCACCAATGTGCAAGATTAGTACAAAGGGAAAGCTTATGTTCTCTCAATGCTACCGTGAGACATTTCCTCAACTACTGACAAGTGACAGCATACAACAACAATAATGTGTTTATTTGAGACTTTGACCTCCATATCTATAAATTTCATGACATCATCTAAAGTAAATAGATATTATCATAATTTGCAATGCAAAAAAGGACTGGTCTTTGCTTTTGTTATTCCAAACAAATCTGGACTACTTTTAATGCGCGACCTCATATCCAAAAAAGGCACAATGTTTTAAGACTAGCAAATGTCTGAAAAGCTAATTCATATGAAAATTAGGCTCTGAAAATCTGAAAGTGAAACAAAAACGCTCCTTAGTATTTTTGCAGTGGTTTCGCTCCACTTGTAATGAGAAAACAATAAAGAGACTAAGCAACTAGAGCAGTAGAGGCTGCTGAGGGGAGGACGGCTCATCATAATGTCTGGAACTAAGCGAATGGAATGGCATCAAACACATAGAAACCATGTGTTTGATAACATTACACTTATTCCGCTCCAGCCATTACCACAAGCCCGTCCTCCCCAATTAAGGTTCCACCAACCTCCTGTGAACTAGAGGCACATAGGCTACACAACACAGGCTAACATGACTGCTCATTTGATTAGAATAAGAGTCCACCAACCAACTATTTGTTATATCTGAATCTATGGGGTCAGCCCTACTGCTCACTAAGTACTTACTCCACTTTGCCACTAAACTAATTCAGGCTTGTTGTGTTGTGTATGAGGAGCAAATTACGGTTGCTTGGTTGACCCGGAGTCCCTGACACTCACCCCTGGGAGGAAGGTGAAGAAGTTGTACTTCTGGTTGTTAATGACATTCCGGGGGTACCTCTGCTCCCTCTTCTCTGGGTGGCCCAGCCACACTGTCCGCGGCCGAAAGTCCCCCATGCCGCAGCACCTTGACCATGGGCAGCACCTGAGGAACACCAGTGTAGTACATTATTAGGGCTGGTTTCCTGGACTCAGGTTAAAGGGATACTTCAGGATTTTGGCAATGAAGCCCTTTATCTACTTCCCCAGAGTCAGACGAACTCGTGGATACCATTTATAGGTCTCTGCGTGCAGTTTGAAATAAGTTACTAACTAGTGTTAGCTCAATCACTAACTAGCGTTAGCACAATGACTGGAAGTCTTTGGTAACTGCTAGCATGCTAGTTAGCATTGGCTTGCAAACCTACCTCTAACTTCCTTCATACTGGATGCAGAGACATACAAATGGTTTCCATGTGTTCATCGGACTCTGGGGAAGCAGATAAAGGGCTTCATTGTCAAAATCCCGAAGTATCCCTTTAAAGATTCACTATGCAGAAATCGCTCTGCCATTTTCTGGTTGCTCAAATTCTAATAGTCCCCTAATTTCTGTTTATGTGACAAAACAAGCAAGTATAGTGTAGAGAATCATTGTACAATCTAAACCGCTGTGAAATATATTTTCATTAACCAATTGTTTTTATTTTCAGCTGGTGTACAAAACCGAAAGTAAAAGATGCAAAAATGAAACTGAAGAATGGGAAGCATAGAAATAGTGCACATAGAACAAATCTACAGCTTCTTAGACTTGCTTTCAATGAGAATGACAGATCTATAACTCACATTTCTATGTGAATTTAGTCAGGTCGCTCAAAACGTTACTTGCACCAAACGCACGTCAAAAAAACAACGTAAGTGGGATATTGTTTTTCAACATGAAAAGTTAAATAGCTGGAGTGTGTCTAATGGCACCCTATTCCAGCACCCTATATCAGCTTTAAGCCTACTCCTGGACCTCTATTCACAAAAAGTCTCAGAGTAGTGCTGATATAGGATCAGTTTTGCCTTTTAAATCATAATGATTATATGGACGGGGGGGTTTGATCCTGGATCAACATTCCTACTCAGACACTTTTCAACACGGGCCCTGGACTAAAAAGCATGCTCAATTGAGAAATGCCATTACAGTGCTTTTTAGTCCAGAACTAGGCCTAATCTGTGTCCGGGAAACTGGCCCTTTTAGAGTTTCCCTCTCACTGAAATGCCACTACAAAAGTACGCAAATAATATGTTTCTTTACTATGGTGATGAGCAAGGCTTCAGTCAGTCAATAGGACCATTGAGGTGGGCCCCGACTCAGTAAATATTGGCTTTATGTGCTAGGCAGCAATACCCTAGTTTCATACACCTTTCTCAAACAAAGCATTCCACTTCATCTAGGCAAGCAGTCAGCAGCTGACCTAATCTTATGGCTGCCATGTGTCATAATGTTCTATGCCTTTTACAGATCACATATTCTACACATATTGTAGGGACTGAATACCTGGATAATGAATACTTGACTGCGGATTGACTGTGGACATAACTGCGGGAAGTAGTTTGGGCGATGCAGAATTTTTTTTTACCCGCGCTACGGACGGCTATATTGGTCCGCTAATACAGGACTAGTAAAGGCCCAGTGCACTACACATTTTTTCTAAAAAATATTATACAAAAACAAATATTAATATACTTGTTTTATTCTGATTTTTCAGTAGAAGGATGCATGAGCAGAAAATAACCCCATACCTACTGTAAAATATGGTGGTGGATCTTTGATATGGGGCTATTTTGCTTCCACTGGTCCTGGGGCCCTTCTTAAGGTAATTTTAGCCAAAAACCTGGTTGCCTCTGCTAGGGTGCTGAAACGTGTCCGCAAGTGGATCTTCCAGCAAGACAATAACCCCACGCACACATCAAAATCCACAAAGAAATGGGTAATTGACCACAAAATCAACATTTTGCAATGGCGATCTCAGTCTCCAGACTTGAACCCCATTGAAAACCTGTGGTTTGAATTGAAGAGGCAAGTCTATAAGCGCAGACGAAGGATATCAAGTATCCGGAAAGATTGTGTATGGAGGAACGGTCTAAGATCCCTCCCAATGTGTTCTCCAATCTCATAAAACATTTCAGACAAAGGCTCAGTGCCATTATCCTCGCAAGGTGAGGTATTGAAAGGTATTGGAAACAGGGGTGCCAATCATTTTGACCCCTATCTTTTTTAGAAAAAAAGTATTGCTTGTTAAACAAAATCTCTTTCTCTGAGCAATTATATTAGTATAAAATAGAATTTTCCCATTTTTTGGAACATACAATATAACTCAGTATTTGAAATATTTATTTTATACAGTATTTTTTGCTCATCTTTAAGGGAGCCAATAATTTGGGGCCTGACTGTATATATTTTGTTGCATATCTTAAACCTACTCATTTGCAATTTATTTCAATCCTAAAATTGAAATGCTCTGACAAGCACCATCTCTGAGATTGACTTTTCCTGTCTGAGGGGATGATGGGTACATAAGGGGATGCCCAGACATGTGTGCAGGCTAGTCTTGTGTAGCCTGTATTATGACAGATGCATATGCGTTTTGTTTTGCCAGATGTCTACCCTGCATTTTCAGTACTTGAAGCACTTGCTTCGCTTTTCAAGTAGCTAAAAGCCACCTAGTTGGATTCTGTGTGTACTTCCGTTTGTACCACCGCACCGTAAAGCAACGCAACCCCCAACGTAGCATTGCGGACTGCTCCATTGACAATGAATGACTTCCACCGGAACACAAAGAGTTTGATGCATCTGGTGGACATGAGACATTAGGCTTTACAATTGGTGCAATTCTATGACGCAATATTATCATTGCATATGATATCAGCAATATGAAATATGTGCCGGTACTCAATTTGGGTGCCGGTATACTGTTTATATTTAGGTGGAGGAGCTCCACAATACTTAACAAATATTCTGAGGTGCCGGTACTCAACTCCGGTGAGATCCTGTCCAAGTCAAGCACTAGCTGTCCCCCAATTCTCATAAGGCCTGCCCTGTCTGGGGCTGGGTCAACGCAATTGCATTTTAATCATTTAGCAGACGCTCTTGTCCAGAGTGCATACATTTTATTTTTTCATACTGGCCCCCCGTGGGAATCGAACCCACAACCCTGGCGTTGCAAGCGCCATGCTCTACCAACTAAGCTACACGGGACTATGACACAACGAATGCCTGTCAGCCATGCTACCTTACCCCACCTTATTTTTTTAGGCATAATGATTGGGGTGTTGTTTTGCCGTCCTATAGGCCTATCTAGTCCAGATACTAAACAAACAAGACGATTAATAGTGTAACGTTAGGCCTACTAGCACCGACAGGACAGACAGCACCCGGAACAAGGATGTCAGTCATCCCTTTCGCTACAATGAATGACTCATTTTCGATTACACATTTATTTCCACAACCAAGGCAAATCCCGTAAATTCGTTATGAAAAAGGCCATTTATCGTTAACGTTTAGAATGAACGGTTACAATGTAGCGAATATATTCGTCCGCGGTTTTGTAAACAATTCATTCTGTTATTAGCCAACGAGCTAAATAACAGCCTAACATCCGCCTCATATCGTTGTTGTCATTTCTACTTACTGTGTAAACGTTTTTTTTGTTCTTACCCATTCCTGTTTTTATTGTCGTGTCTTTTTTTGTGTCTTACTGGTTGTAAAGGAATATTGTCCGTCATTCCTGCAGCCCTAGTTGACGGTGACGCCAGGCAAAAATCCACCTAGCCGTCTCTGCGGGTTGTGACTAGATGGAGTACAGCTATGGACGGAAGTGACTGTCAGTCCAAGGTCCACAAATATTGGCCTAGGCTTGTCGAGAGACCGCACTGAATCAGAAAACTTCAACCCAGTAGCCAATGCTTGAGTCTTGACCCCTGTCAATATAGTATACCGTCACCCTGCTCTCCATGTCAAGAGACCCACATTGGAATATGTCTACACCTGCAGGACATGGGGATTATGTCATTTTAAAAATGGTTGGATAAAGTAATTAGGCCACACAAAACCGATATTGTTAGCTTTGATTGTGGGAAGAAAATGAGAACAGACATATGGCGAGTTGGAAATGCAAATTAATTTAGTTGATGCAAAATGATCTGGGACCAAACATTTATTTCTGGGACACATGTGAGATCAACAACCAAACCAACAACTCCAAGAAAGTCATCTGAAGGAGACAAGATGGAAATCAGGGATGTGCACAATGCAAATGAAAGAAAAGTAGCAAGAACAAACCCATGAGGTAATTAATCCACAAAGTCCATGCTGAGAGGACAGAGCAGATAGTTACAGTCCTGCAACTGAAATGCTAACTGTTCCAGACAGAACTAAATAAATCAACTTCATACAAACAATTAAATAAAACACTCAGAAACACATGATTTTCAGAGTAATTCATGGCATGCTGGGAACTGACAAAGGAATGCAAACCAAAGTCGGAAAGGTCACCCTGATTTCTATTTTCATAAAGACCAGAAAGTAACATTTAGGTGATAAGGAAACATAATGAACAAAGAGAACATTTACATTGTAAACAAGCCTACACAGGCTCAACATTTATTGAATTGTATAGACAACCTCAAAGCAGTTCTGATGCATGGTTTGATTTCTAAAACAAGGCACAACTTGGTAAATGCATTTCAATGGAAAATGTACAGCAGGATTATAGAGTTAATCTGTGCATTCTGAGTTATGCAAAGAGTCCAGTGATACATTCATTACTTACACAACTCAGTAGATTGTGCGAAGAATGAAAGCATATCATTGCTTACTCAGAATGTATCAGAGAGTGAATGTACCCATTGCGTTAAATTTGAGGGTAGGTGGAGGATAAACTAATATCTAAATGAGGTAGAGAGAGAGTTGCCCCAAAAGCTCTGGCATCGTACACAATATAAATAACAAAACAAAAAGTTTAAGATTCCACAGTTGATAAAATAATGTATTGTAGATTCCCAGTCAATGGAGAGAATTATTGAAATATGTCAAACTTAACACAGTTGGGAATTGAGTTAAATAGAGTAAAATTCTGAATTCAACGTTTCCACGTCCTCAAACAAAGAAAAGATGATGCAATCGCTGATGTGCCCTCTTATATGAAGATCAAGGTATATGTCAATATGATGGTTTTGAAATGTAACCATTAAAATGACAAGCTTACCAAAAATTGTGAAGAAATAAAGTGCAGGCATGATTGAGAGCATTCAGCATTATATGGGTTGTGTCCCAAATGGTATCCTATGCCCTATATGGTGCACTACTTTTGGCCAGGGCCCATGTATGTAGAGAATATGGTACCAATTGGGACATAAACCCTAGCCTTCAGAACAAAACCACCAAAAGACGCAGAAGCTCTACAAAAATGAATATTTGGAGCAAAAATATGGAAGCAGAAAAATATTTCCGGAAACAATGCAATATGGAAAAATATAGTACCAGTCAAAGCACATACAGACAAATATAACCTTCATTACAATCTTGTGGTGCTTTAAAAAAAGACAATACAGCAACAATTCAAATTCAAGCTAGGCACTTGGCATGAGGTTTTTCAGTTTTAGAGAGAAAGGCAAATAAACTACTTTGTCTCAGCATGTGTAAACTACCTGGAAACATTATCAACATCCAAAATGGATGACTGAGCAAATCAGTAGGCCTGTCTGGATCAAACAAAAGTACATGACACCCGACAGATAACTCTCAGCAGACCACCTCAGAGCATCTCCAAACAACTTGAAATATCAAACTCTTTCCTATGAAATATCATTACAAGACAGTTGGCCATGTTGAAACTATACAAATGTCATAAAATGTATGGCACACAATAGGAGGAGAGCCAAGTAGTTATGTACTGTAGAGGAATCAGGACAACCACTGGTTTATCGGCACTAAAACAATGGTGTCCACAATCGGTCATACACTGAAGCTTTTCTAATGCTAGACAAAATCCTTCAAAGTACAGTTTCTTCCGTCAAGGAGAGAGACATTCTGAATCAAAGCGGTTTCAAGAAGGCCATACATTCAACTTCTGGATACAAGACTAAAAAGTGTCACACAGAAATACCCGCATATATTATGGAGAAAAATATATATATAACCGTAAATACAACTACAGTAGTTATATCAACTTCAACTAAAGGGGTGAATTGTTCAAATGAAAGGAAGAGCAGCACCATTTAAGTTACTGAGAGTTCCAACTAGGCTTTGCAAAAAGCAGTAATATGTTCAGCAAGGGTTATGGACGATCTCTTGAAAGTATTGGAATAGCACGTGTTGATTGTACCCGTCAAGGACCAAGTGGCAATGTTAGCTAACATTGCTACTATGAACATTCAAAATCTGTACACAATAGATGAAAAAACTATAAGCAAAACAAAAACAGATAAAACTGCCTTGTTCTTCCATTTTACTACTAGTTCACTGCAATTTTCCCTTCCTCCATGAAATGTTGGAACTGAGATCTGGCCACGCACTCAGAGCCATTCCTTTCCATCTCTGCCATGGTGGCAGGCAGGCCAGAGTGGGAGCAATCCATTTTCATCAGGCCTCCAGTAGAGCGGACCATAGGACCACCGGCCAGGCTACCAGGCATGGGCATTCCGCCATTTTGGATCACAGAGATCTCGTTAGTCTTCATGGACAGGCCGTTGGTGAAAGCAGCAGTGTACTGGTTCCACAGAGACTGGTCGAAGTTCATTGGCGGAGGAGGACCCAGTTCCTTGGGAGGAGGCATCATATCTGGCATCATGTTGCCAGACTCTGAGCTCATCGCCATCAGGGCCATGGGGTTGTCCAGAGAGAGGCGCTGGCCGCGCCTCGCAGAGCTGTTCCACATGTGAGTACCAACGTGCACCTAAAACAAGCATGGCATAGATATTACTACAGAAAATTAGGTCAGACTTATTTGGACAGTCCAATATAGATGGTCATACTATTAAACTATCTGTTGATAAGCAAATGCTTGCTAAGGTTAGGGTAATGTTTAAGGTTAGGGCTAGGATTGAGGTAAGGGTTAAGTTTAGGGTTAAGGTTAGTTAATCGAAATGTTGACAGTTATTGAACATCTACTTGGGACAATCCAGCCACGTAGGCATGGGTGGGCCCAGACCCAGCCAATCAGATTAAGCAACAAAAAAATATAATGATCTCTACTCATGTTCCAAACAGGACATTATTTGTATTTTTACCTAAACATCAGATAGAATTCATAGCAAGCAGTGCACTGGAATGACATTCACTCATGGGATGGGTGGACATAAATAACTGAAAGCCACACCCCCAATTATCCATGAATATGACTGCATTGAGGCATATGTCACTGTGCTTCTATGGCTATATGCACCATGCCACCGCCTACTTCATTTGTTCATTTAGCAAATACAGCTCATAATCCAGTGCATTTATCACAGTCAACACACCAAAGAAATTCTCAGCCTCATGTCAAAATGTGTAGAATTGCATGAGATTAGCTACAGTGGGGAGAACAAGTATTTGATACACTGCCGATTTTGCAGGTTTTCCTACTTACAAAGCATGTAGAGGTCTGTAATTTTTTTATCATAAGTACACTTCAACTGTGAGAGACGGAATCTAAAATAAAAATCCAGAAAAACACATTGTATGATTTTTAAGTAATTAATTTGCATTTTATTGCATGACGTAAGTATTTGATACATCAGAAAAGCAGAACTTAATTTTTGGTACAGAAACCTGTTTGCAATTACAGAGATCATACGTTTCCTGTAGGTCTTGACCAGGTTTGCACACACTGCAGCAGGGATTTTGGCCCACTCCTCCATACAGACCTTCTCCAGATCCTTCAGGTTTTGGGGCTGTCGCTGGGCAATACAGACTTTCAGCTCCCTCCAAAGATTTTCTATTGGGTTCAGGTCTGGAGACCAAGATTTTGCGATACATGGCCCCATCCATCCTCCCCTCAATACGGTGCAGTCGTCCTGTCCCCTTTGCAGAAAAGCATCCCCAAAGAATGATGTTTCCACCTCCATGCTTCACAGTTGGGATGGTGTTCTTGGGGTTGTACTCATCCTTCTTCCTCCAAACACGGCGAGTGGAGTTTAGACCAAAAAGCTCTATTTTTGTCTCATCAGACCACATGACCTTCTCCCATTCCTCCTCTGGATCATCCAGATGGTCATCGGCAAACTTCAGACGGGCCTGGACATGCGCTGGCTTGAGCAGGGGGACCTTGCGTGCGCTGCAGGATTTTAATCCATGACAGCGTAGTGTGTTACTAATGGTTTTCTTTGAGACTGTGGTCCCAGCTCGCTTCAGGTCATTGATCAGGTCCTGCCGTGTAGTTCTGGGCTGATCCCTCACCTTCCTCATGATCATTGATGCCACACGAGGTGAGATCTTGCATGGAGCCCCAGACCGAGGGTGATTGACCGTCATCTTGAACTTATTCCATTTTCTAATAATTGCGCCAACAGTTGTTGCTTTCTCACCAAGCTGCTTGCCCATTGTCCTGTAGCCCATCCCAGCCTTGTGCAGGTCTACAATTTTATCCCTGATGTCCTTACACAGCTCTCTGGTCTTGGCCATTGTGGAGAGGTTGGAGTCTGTTTGAGTGTGTGGACAGGTGTCTTTTATACAGTTAACGAGTTCAAACAGGTGCAGTTAATACAGGTAATGAGTGGAGAACAGGAGGGCTTCTTAAAGAAAAACTAACAGGTCTGTGACAGCCGGAATTCTTACTGGTTGGTAGGTGATCAAATACTTATGTCATGCAATTAAATGCAAATTAATTACTTAAAAATCATACAATGCGATTTTCTGGATTTTTGTTTTAGATTCCGTCTCTCACAGTTGAAGTGTACCTATGATAAAAATTACAGACCTCTACATGCTTTGTAAGTAGGAAAACCTGCAAAATTGGCAGTGTTTCAAATACTTGTTCTGTATAAAAATGCACATTTTTATTTTTGCCCCATGGGAAAATGTTTAGAATTGCAGGAAGTTAGCCATTTCATACCAGGCCACAGAGTCCATGAAAGACAAAGGCTTTAATAGCATTTATTTTATATAAAAGTCAGCCTTACCTTGAGGTTGCCTTTAGTGGTGAAGGCCCTGCCACAGATGGTGCAGCCGAAGGGCTTCTCGCCAGTGTGGGTCCTCTCATGGATCTGCAGGGCGCTGGCAGAGGAGAAGTTTTTGCCACAGGAGTTACACAGGTGCTGCTTGCTGGATCTACGGTGAGCACTGGAGCCATCCTGTGGTTGCCCTCCCGCTCCCTGGGGCATCTGGGAGACAAATAGAGGGCCCATGCCCATGGATATCTCTGGGGGAATCTGCCTCTCCAGTTTGACCAGACTGGGAGGCACCCTCATAAAAGGAGGCAAATGACTGGGAGCTGTTGAGAATAAAAACAAATCCAGTTAATAAACAATCAAGATTACTCCAAATCCTACAGGGGATGTGATTGATTTACAATACAGCACATTCTAATCAAAGGGGTTTATACACTTACCATACTCCCCATTAGTAAAGAGCAGGCCAGGCTCTTCTTTGATGGTTTTTGGGGTGAAGCTGGGTGCCGTCAGGTCCAGAGCTCCATTGGCATCCTGAGAGCTGCTGTCAGAGTCTGTTCTAGGCCCATTTTGGGTGTAATCCTCAGGGATGGCTGACTCGGGGGACTTGGACTGGCTGCTGCCTACATGGCTGTTGACTGGTGATGAGGAGTGGAAGGAGACAGAGTCTGAGATTGCAGGGCTGCGGCCGTTCTGGTACTCTTGCTCCCGGATGCACTCGGAGGCTGAGGGGGACTCTTTGGGGGGCACTCCATCACACTCCGCGGCAGTGCCGCTTTGGCGTTGCAGGTTGAGAGCCGAGGGGAGGTTCTTCATGTGGTTCTCCTGAGCAGCTATGCTGGAGAACATAGAGGATGGAGGAGCCTGATTAGGTTGGTGCAGTTCCTCAGAGGAAGATGGTGCGAGAGAATCTGAGGTGTTGCTTGGCTTTTCTTGAGAGTCAAGCTCTGTGTCTTGGTCTTCCATGCATGCAAAGCCATTGGTGTCCATGGACTTCTCATCGGGCAGAGAGGAGTCAATTTCTTCAAAGGCCTCAAACTGGGTCTCTGGCATGGGGGTGTTGGGGATCTGGCCTCCCATATGCATGCGGATGTGCTGCTGAAGAACCACAGCATTGGTGAACTTCTTCTGGCAGATGGGGCAGGAGTGCTGCATCTTGAGGGGCGTGTTGGCCCGATGGACACCGTAATGAGCTTTGAGGTTGCCATTGGTAGAGAAGGCACGGCCACAGATCTTACACTTGTAGGGCCGCTCACCCGTGTGCGTACGGTAATGCATCTTCAAGGAGCTCTGGCAGCTGAGCACCCGGTGGCAGATGTAGCACTCGTTTGGGTCATTGGTCCTCTTTTCCAGCCCATCCACCATCTGCTGTAGTTTGGCAGTTTCAGAGCTGTTGTGGTCGCCAGGAAGGCAATTGCCATTCATGTGATGCAGCGCTCCCAATAGCTCTTTAGATACATGGTGGTCCTGATCAGAGCCCATTTCGTGATTGAACATGTTTGAGGAAATTGATGCGCAGTCACTTCCTGATGACGCTCTTTGGGAGAACGGGTCACTCCTGAAACCATCAAATGAAGGCTTGAACCCCTGCAGTGCTGATGGGTGGAAACCTGGAGATGGGAGGCAGAGCATTGGCTTCATGTCCACCATGTTGGATTCTTCAATGGGCATTGACATGCCGTAGGGGATGCCGCTGCTGGTGGGAATGTTGTCAAGGTGTTCTGGCACAGGGTGTGGGTTCATCCTGATGTAAGGGTACTTCTCCTTGTGTCTCTGGAAATGCACTTTGAGGTTTCCTTTGGTTGTGAAGCGGTTTCCACATATGTTACATTTAAACGGTCTTTCTCCAGTGTGTGAGCGCAAATGGATCTGGAGTGCGCTGTCGTTCCCGAAAGTTTTCCAACAGTACTTACACTTGTGCTTGTACATGCTGTCGCCACCAGACCCGTTTTTAGACTCCGGCATATTTGGGATCTTGCTCTTTACTTTCTTAGAGGGATCCATCCCTGATGAGAGGCCAGTGAAGGGACTTTGGAAGGCCATGGAGCCTGGTGAGTGAGGCAGTAACGCTGGTAGGTGGTTGGCCAGGTCTGGGAGCCCCTTCAATATCTCGGCTTTGGAGGGCATCGGACCCAGGCCTTGAGCCAGTGAGGTGGGAATGCAGTTGGACGGAGGTAGTTTACCCTGTTTGAGTGACTCTAGTGAGAGGCTCTGGTTGCTAGTCCTCTTGCCGATCAGGGCTGCTGCAGCAGAGAGCTGCTGGGAGAGATGAACTCCTAGGGCTTTGAGGGGGTCGACTGCTGCCCCTAGGGCCGAGTGGAGGCTCTGTGGAGCCATCATTGCCACCTGGATACGGATCTGCTCAGTCAGTTGGATCTGCTGGAGCTGCTGCTGCTGGAGGGCCACCAGCTGTTCCAGGATCATGGGGATGGCCTGCAAGGCCTCCTGGGTGGCCTGTGGAGACTTGCGGTTGTTCGACCCACTGTTTGATGAATGCTGAGTGACGGCCACTTTGGTGCAAGGCATTGACTCCAAGGTGACGTTTGAATCTTGGGGTTTGGCTGAGGCTTGGTGCTGATGGCAACTCATCTCAGGCCTGGGACTGTCAGACATCTCCACCTGGTCTTGTTTGGATGGTTGTTCCTCACTGTTTGATTTTGGTTCTTCCTCCATCCTTTCCATAGACACTGCATTGGACTTTGATAGAGTATTACTGCAGGACTGGCAGTCACTGTAGTCACTCTGGAAGTCACCGGGGGAGCCTCCTTGTGAGAACTCTTCTGGTACTTCTCTCCCCTCTCCATCTTTCATGATGACCATCTCATTACTTTTAGTGCAATTATTCTGATGTTTGAAAAAGTCAGCCTCATCGATGAGTTCAGCACAGCATTTGTTGCAGACCTTCGTCTCATCCATTCTAAACCTCTTCACCTCATTCCCATCCTCTTCAGTTTGACCGTCTTGTAGAACCCCTGTAATGATAATAAGCAGGAAAATATCAGGTTAAAACCACTTAAATAACAATAAACCAACTAAAGTCACCAAGTATAAATAAGTCTGGATAATTAAACATAGCCAGTATAAGTACATTCTGTAGAATTGAAATTCAATCATTTAGAGTTCTCTTTTTCAATTTCAGTCAAACAATATATTTCTATATATATCCCTTATCAAACTTTAATATATATACACATACACTAAAGGTGGTATTCAAATACTTTAATAATTAGGTTAATCTATATTAGAAATTAATATTGCTTGGTGGGCAAAACTTGAATAAGTCATTTACATTCATGAAAAGCTTTTCTCAATCACATTTCCATTCAATGCATTGCTAGCATGAGGGTTTCGTGTAATTTCGGCTCAGTGCACAACTGAGCCAGCAGAGGGCAACATTGACAAAAACATCAGGGGCAAGCGACCAAGGTCTCCTGTAAAATAAAAAATGAAGACAAAGACCAGCCTGGCTCTAATGACACTCATTTCAATTTAGAAACTGAAATGAATCCCTATAACAGAGCATACTTTATTATAAGGCCACATGTAAACCAATATTCATATTGTGTGGGCCTGTAATAAGCCTGAATTTGCCACAATAATTCAAGTCTGGGAAGTATGGTGTGAACTATAAACAAAGATGTAGTCTACATTACCTGTACTTGAATGTAACTTCACACCAAAATCTATATAAAACAAACGACTGTGTGCCTATGCTCACAATAATCAGTCAGAGCAGCGGCTTTATATAGAAGACATCAATCGATTTGCCTTTAAAACCCAGAAAATATCAGGGGCAATCGTCTCGCATATCAACTTCTCATTTACATGAAAAGTACATTCTAGCAAAATGGAACATGTCGGACTGGAATAAATGTGATTATTTTAATTTGTCTGCCCACCGAGAGGCCATTTCACAACCAGTCGCATTGTCAAACGCTAATGTCCTCTCTCTGTGGGGTAGACCACCTGTCTGCATTCTTCCAACGAAACTGTTGCTGGACTTGTTAATCACCAGGCAACTGGAGTGGGGTGGAAAAAATGGCAAATGGCATTGTATTCAGAATCCGTTAATTGTCAAACAAGTTGGCAATGTTGTTACAGTGCATAATAACGCAGTAGGCAGAGAACGTTACCTTATGACTCCCTATGCAAAAAAGTGGGCGATTTTGAGAGACGCAACTAATCAAGAACAACCCGCAAAATGAAGGGAAAACAAGTGAAGAAATATATATATATATAAATAACATGACTGACTTCCCCACTTGTGTCAGGTATTCATTTGACCACTTGGTGGCACATAAATTGTATCAGATCACCAATATGGCACGGGGTGAAACTACACAAGGGTTGCCACTTAATGAGTACATTGATAGCCTGTATTAAATGGGACATGTCACCATTCTCAGATCAAAGAAACACCGACAAGAAGTTATCGAACATATGCACGTTCCCAATCAAGCAGCGTAGCCTAAATGTATGTAGAATCAATATATATATCATTCCTAAAGTGATGTTCATTACCATGGCATGCTTTACATGGCAACACAAGCCGCACCCCCAACTCTTGCTTGCCTACAAACCCCCTCACCTTAAGTCAGCTTACTTCTGAGTCACATTTCATACTACATTGTCGGACACCTTTGTTATAAAATTGCTCCCAAAATACAGCACAAAAATATATGCCTTGTGTTTGAGCACAAATAAAACTTCTACAGTCAAAGCAGGAGAAACAACACATGCAATCAAATTATGATGCGCAACATGGATAGTTGTTCAATTAGGCCTATGTGAAAAGATCAAAAGACGTGCAACTGATTTGTCTACAATTATTTTTAATCTTCTAAAAGACAGCCAACCAAACATTCACATATTCTAAAATAGCCCACAGCAATAACCACGTTAGTGATAGTCACCCAGCTATTCCAGTTTCGTATTCCATAGGTAACACTTTCGAAAAACTTAGATAAAAGTTAAGGCATCATGTCGTTTACAGTGGACTTTCTGGCTCACTATCAAACAAAACGAAATCGATTGATCAATTGATGTTCAAATCGATTAAACCGTATTTTATTCACACGAATGTTCACGAATAAACGCAAAAGGTTTCTAATCAAGAAACTCGCTTATACAATTTCAAAAAGTCAACTGTATTTTGGCAAAAATAGTAAAACTTCACACAAACTCGCAGGTTTATTCATAAAAAAGCATGGTCAGTTCCAAGGGTCATGATCCAACCAGGTCAAAGTGCAAGGAGAAACAACGTATAACTTTCCAAATAAAAATGTTGCTATCTTGCAACATTGTATAAATGTAACCCTGCGCGACTCTTTCCAAAAGTGGTTTATCAGTCCAAAAACTCACCATTTTCTGACGAACCGGGCTCATCGGAATTGATTTGCTGTGGCTTAGCTTGCTTGCGCCTCGACATGGTGCAACCATCCGGAGCAAATAGTAACGCAATTTTCTTCCCTTCTTTACAAATTCTTCGGGTTGGAAAATTAGCCCCTGAAGTGGAATTGCGCATGTCAAAGTAATTATTATTATCAATAATGCATTGCGATTTATCATGGTCCTCTGACAGCTGATTGGCTCCACTCCAAGTGCTTACACATTATTCAAATAGGGCCCATTGATGAGAAAAGCAGAATGCCATGAGGGGGCGGGAGATGCGATACTAGTGGATAGGCAGCAATGGAGGGAGGTAAAGGAGTTACAGAACTACCTAATCTGCTATACTTTATCTATGGACATATTGTCACTTGAATAATCATTTCATTCAACTCAAAGTTTGTTTAGGGTACTCATTAGAAAAGTTAACTTCATCATGTAGAACATTTTTAAATACCTTTGAGAAATTAATAATCCCATGCAGACATTTTAGTTCATTTTAATCTGTCCTTTTCTTCCAATATCCAGTCAAATATTTTGTTTATGATCCATAAACCCTGCACTCTATCCTTTGAATTGAGATCTAGGTGAGCTGAATTAAAAATTATTATTGTGAAATCATTATTTACAGTGCCTTCAGAAAGTATTCACACCCCTTGACTTTTTTCACATTTTGTTGTGTTACAGCCTGAATTTAAAATTGATTAAATTGAGATTGTGTCTCTGGCCTACACAAAATACCCCATCGTGTGGAAGTATGTTTTTAGACATTTTTACAAATTAAATGAAAAGCTGAAATGTCTTGAGTCAATAAGTATTCAACCCCTTTGTTATGGCAAGCCTGTGTGCAATAATAGTGTTTAACATGATTTTTGAATGACTACCGTCTCAGTCGAGCAGTGAATTTCAAACACAGATTCAACCACAAAGACCAGGGAGATTTTTCAGTGCCTCGCAAAGAAGGGCACCAATAGATGAGTTAGCTGACAACGTCACGAAAACAAAAAAAGTTGTTGTGATAGCTACCAACAATGACAAGAAACTGCCATTTGGGGAATCGTATGTGACTAGTTTCAGCTAATTTCATATTGTTCTTGATACCATGTCTTGTTTTGGTTCTTGATACCATGTCTTGTTTTGAGGTGTTTTGACTGATTTCATGCCAATGCTAATATGGCTCAAATTCGCTAGCTAGCTAACCAATGACTGTAACGATGTATTTGAAAGACGTGTTCATTGTGCAAATGTATTTATGTGTTCAATAAACATTGGAGATGAAATATAGTTAACATGTTGTCAACAATCTAAGCCAACCCTGTCTGTTTTGCACCATAGTTGATAAACAACCAACCCGTCTATTGGTAGATGGGTAAAAAATTAAAGCAGACATTGAATATCCCTTTGAGCATGGTGAAGTTATTAATTACACTTTGGAGGGTGTATCACTACACCCAGTCCACTACAAAGATACAGGCGTCCTTCTTAACTCAGTTGCCGTAGAGGAAGGAAACCGCTCAGGGATTTCACCATGAGGCCAATTGTGACTTTAAAACAGTTAGAGTTTAATGGCTGTGATGCGGAGAAAACTGAGGATGGATCAACAACAATGTAGTTACTCCATAATGCTAACATATTGATAGAGTGAAAGAAAGCCTGTACAGAATTCCAAAACATTCATCCTGTTTGCAACAAGGCACTAAAGTAATACTGCTTTTCAAGCATAGTGGTGGCTGCATCATGTTATGGTTATGCTTGTAATCGTTAAAGGACTGGGAAGTTTTTCAGGATAAAAAAAGAAATGGAATGGAGCTAATCACAGGCAAAATCCTAGAAGAAAACCTGTTTCACTCTGCTTTCCAACAGACACTGGGAGACAAATTCGCCTTTCAGCAGGACAATAACCTAAAACATAAGGCCAAATATACAGTGGAATTGCTTACCAAGGCGACATTGAATGTTCCTGAATGGCCTAGTTACAGTTTTGACTTAAATCGGCATGAACATCTATGGCAAAACTTGAAAATAGCTGTCTAGCAATGATCAACAACCAACTTGACAGAGCGTGAAGAATATTTAAAAGAATAATGGGCAAATATTGTACAACCCAGGTGTGCAAAGCTCTTAGAGACTTACCCAGACAGACTCACAGCTGTAATCACTGCCAAAGGTGATTCTAACTTGTATTGACTCAAGGGTGTGAATACTTACGTAAATTAGATATTTCTGTATTCATTCAAAAACATGTTTTCACTTTGTCATGATTGGGTATTGTGTATAGATGGATTAAGTAGATATTTTTATCTCCCATTTTGAATTCAAGCTGTAACACAACAAAATGTGGAATAAGTCTAGGGGTATGAATATTTTCTGAAGGCACTGTACATGATCGGTTTTGTCATTGATTCAGTTACCAATAACTTCTGTGAAGGTGTTTCTGGTAACTGAAAATATAATTATTCTTATTAAAATTATGAAAATACATTTACATATCACATGTATATTTCAAGGTTGGTTTAAATCACATGCAAGAGAAGTACAGACAGACAAGACTCTTCCTCAAGAGAGACACCTTTGGCCCAGACGTCCAATCACTGACTTCCCAGCATAATAGTCAGGGTCAAGATTCCTACTGTCCAGAAACTGTAGAATATCATTGTAGAAACTGTGTGGTGAACCATACTGTAATCATTATTTAAATGCTATAATATACAGTATATGTGGGGGATGTCTTTAAGCTGCATATACTTTATGTATAACATATATATCTCCTATACAATGAGAGGATATCCAGATTGTAAAAAAAAAAGTTCAAGAACGATTCAATTTTATCTAGAATTCCCTCTCAAAAACTCAAACACATGGTCAGAGCTGCAATCCCTGAAGCTCCTCCCATATTTGTCATTAGACCATTCTGGTAAATGGTGAGGTGAGAAATAATGTATTACCCACTGTACTCAGAAGAAAATAGGCCAATCTATTTTGCCTACTCAACCCACTGTCAGCCATCTTCACAAAAAGGGGACTGCTCTCAAATAAAATGGGATGGGGGGGGGGGGGGGGGTAGGCATTCAAAGCAAAAATGTAAAACTAAGTAAGGACATGGGTAACTCCAGATTTCAGACCACCCCATTGGCCTCGATGTTGTTGTGTGCATGTGGTGGAAGGTGTTCAAGTTTTCCATGCAGTGAGGACATGTAATTGATTCCATTCTGTAGAGAGATGACAATCACACCAAGCAGCTAAAAGGCTATACACATTTTAGCCAAGGTAAGCTTTAGCCACAGCAGAAAGAAAAAGGTTAATTTCACATCCAAAGCTGCATTTCCCCCTGAAATATAGTAAAGTTTAATTACAGTAAATAAAGTCTAAATCGGAGTGAAATTTGAATTTGAGGGACATCGAAATTCAGTAGGTCCAGTCTATGATTATGTGTCGTTGCAGCTCTAACAGCAACTGTCTAATGAAAGGGAGTTTTAAAAAATGGCTTTGTTGATAGTTGTGAGACAAAGAAAAGTCCATATATCCAGAAAAACAAATGCCTTTTACTTAGAGACCGACTGAAGGTGAAAAAGAAGGGAGGGTTGTCTAGACGCTTTATAGCCCCAATAATAAACTATAATTGAACACAGTGTTTCTGCTGTTTTCAAACTAAACAATTCAAACTGCGGGCTCTTGTGTCATAAATCTGAAATGGTGGGAACCAAAGGGATGTAACCTATAGCCCCTTCTTTTGGAAAATGGACAGATGTCATGTCTTATCTGAGATGACTCAAATGGTAGCATTGAAATCGCTCTATAGTCTATTATACACCCTGGACTAGAAAGTACATGGAACTGGGACAAACGTTTCAAGAGTAATTATCAATTTCCACCATTAAATGTTGTAAAATTGAATATAATAATTACATATTTGAATATTAGAATATACGCCTATTCGCACAAGCTTTTATAACTGAATGCAAAAATAATCCCACACGAAGAGCTATCACACAATATGTGAGAGAAATATTGATGTTTGCTGTTGTATTGTAAAATTTGAATTGGCCAATGTCAGCAGTGTTATTTCTTTAAAAATGTGTAGAAGGTAGCATAATGGCAGTGACATAGATATTTGACCAGGTCAAGGTTTTCTATCAATTGTACGTTTGTACATAGGGCAACTCTGAAAGACAGTGTCAACAGATGGCATTGTATAAAATCTGTGAAGTGGCAAAAGTAACCATTCCTTCACATTTCTAGATCCTGATCATTTTAATCTATAAACATGTTGCTAGGGGTCATATAAAACATATCAAATAAAGTTGACTTCAGGAAGCATTATCTAAATGTAAAAAAAAATCATACATTAGTCAAAAGCTGTGAATGCTACTATGCTTACATGTGAGAGATGGAGAGATATGTGTGAGGTTTCTAAAATATCCCTATACTTTTAACCAGGCATTCAGCAACTAAGCAACCATTGACAATGGCAACAGCTATACTGGATTGTAGTGGACAAACAATAACAGTCTAACACTTGGAGAGGAATTGTAAATTGATCATTTGTTTTTTAGGACTCAGTAAAACATGAAAGACGGTAGACCAGTCTGGAAAGGTTGAGATATTTCACATCAGCATGATACTCCCACAACCAGGAGGATGGGTAGGCTTTCATTTTCATGAAGGTAACCTTAACCTCTCATTTTCACTGATGAAGAGACATATAGATGAAAAGACAGAAAACAGGTGATAGATGGTTAGCAATTGAATGCAAGCTTCCCAGATGGGTAGACCTATAGGAAAGTAAGGAAAGAGAGGATGCATAAGTTGACATTTTCATTTATATATTTTTGTTATGGTGGATTTTCTATTCATAGCCTAGTGTTAATCATAGTGTAGGTGTAAGAGATCTGTTGAACCCTGCTTAATGTGCAAAGCAGAAAGAATACATATGTTGAAGGGATGTTAACAAAAAAATCTAACATTTCATCAGTGCCAGCATGAGCTTGTCAATACCAATGCATCACTAAGGAATTACATTTACATTTATCTCTAATGATAGTGTTGAATTGTTTATCAATCAACTGTAAGCACCAGCAGAATCAACACCATAAGAGAAAAGTAATGATCTCTTTAGCTCAATATTTGATGTACTTA